AATAAACCTATGTTTAACATGCCACATAATTTGCATATTTACAACATTTCCCTTCCTGCCTTAATTAAATAAATAGGTTTACAAAATTATACAATGAATTTATATACAAAATGTAGTGCGATCTATCTATATCTAAGAGAAGGAAAGTAAAATGATGGTTGATATGCATTAAATTCGTTTAATTGTTTTCTAATATAATTACTTCTAACTATAGTTGACATCATAAAAAAAAAAAAAAACTCAACTTTGTGATTTTCTTTCAACATATAGTCACTAGCAACGAGTATTTCATTAGGTATGAATTCGTCAAATTATATTTTTTCATTGAAAAGTGACTTTTTTCTATCCATATTCTCGACTTCTACTTGGAAGTAAACTAAAACGCCCCCATCACTTTCACAGCCTTATCATATGAAGCACTAATATTGCTAATTTGATGCATCAATTCAACGATTGGCCCATCCTTGCTCTTAGAATGTTGTTTGCTTGACAACATCATCCTAGCATTACTTGGAGTAGCAGAACCAATTTCATCATCATTGTCTCCTATTTCTACATTTCCTTCAGTATTGATATCAAAATTAGGAGAGAAGTAAGCATCATTATTAGCATTCAATAATTCAACCACATCAGTTGCTGTTTCAGCACTTTGATCATTGCTTTATTAGATCTGAATATCACTTTAAAATTATCAAAAAATAGAAAAGGTTTGTTCCTTAACCCTTTAGCATGTGGGTGTGACTAGAATAAGTTAAAGCAAATATAAATAAAACCCATAGAAAAAATGTAGAAAAGATAAATAAGCCATAATATAATCTTAAAAAACTTACTCGAACACACTCATCAAATATTTCTTTCTTAGTTATGATACATTTTTCTTAATCATTCTACCCAAATCCATTAAAATTTTTCATATCACGAATTGCATGATATTGTCTCTTAAGAGCTTAACCTTGGATTTGATGTAAGGAGTGACTTTAATTTGTGAAGTAAGGATGATTTACTCTAACATTCATTCAATATAACCTAGATATCTAACGCAGAATGTCCCATTATCCGCTTTCTATCTACGATTTTAGCCAAAAAATGTAGGTATTAAATCAGATGGAAATCCTCTTCTCGAGTCCATGAATGGTTACTAACTTCTAAACTGTCTAATCTTTTTTTGGAGATGCCTCAAATGGATTGCAATGGATTGGCATGCAATGAAGACATGTTCAATTCCTAATCACTTGGTTAGACATTATGAAACAATATCAATATAATAAATCAAAAAACAATTAAGGGGATAAAATAAAGGAATACACATGGAAAGAAAGCAAAAAAGTGTGTACTCCAAATTGTAATATTCATTGGACAATAAAAAATGCCTTAAATATATTGTAAATATATATCCAACATTGATATAAAGCAAATTTTACACTCAACCATACGGTACATACAATAAAAACTATTAGGTAAACAAATAATAAAATACAAAACATATCTATAATATTATTATCCCCAAGATTGCAACCAATGGATGAATATCTCATTAGCCATATTATCTTTAAACTGAGTCCAAGAATCGGATGGCTCAATATGCATAATTAAATCTTGATGTTCAGATTCATCTGGTTGGAAAATACTTTTTTCAGCAACATCCCTTTCAATAGGATCAAAAACTATTTCAGACCTAATAAAATTATAAAAAAAGTAATAAGCAGAAATGATTCTATATTGTGTCTTAATTGAATAAAATAACTTCTCTTTTAAAATTATCATTCTAGCTTTCAATATATCAAAACATCTTTTGATTCAATTTCTTGCTTGAAAGTGTTTCATATTAAAGTATTTCTATCTAATCGTCTATTAGAATCTTGCCCTTCAATCACTAAAATGATATCGTTGACTTCTATAAGGTGCCAATAATATTTTCCCTATTTGTGTATCCAACATCACATAAATAGTGATTATCTGTTAGAATGCTCAACAACATTAACAATATGAAAATAAGGTGTCTCAACATTAACATTATACAAACATAATAAAACTAATACCATGTGGGATCCTTAACCCATTCCTATGTGTAATGGCATCCCTTAACCCATTCCTGTGTGTAATGGCATCCCTCAACACTTTGTCATTTGCTGTAGAACCTTTTCATCCTGGTAGAACATATATGAATTGTATACCTAAGGTGTAAACACCAAAGACATTGATAATAATTTCATTTCTTAGTCATGTATCTAGGCCTATTAACTGTGTCCATGTTGACTTTGATGTAGATCCCATCTAAGGCACCCAAACAACCCTTGAACTATTTCAATCTATTATCTATTAAATTTTTTGGTATGGGTTTCGATTTTTTAAACAACAACTTATGCAATCTTAAAATCGAATTCAACACAGAATGGAATTATCTACTAATCATTTCTCCATATCTGTTCACTTGACGTTTCATAACCCTATATTTTGTATAATAAGTAATGATGTGGATGAAACTAATTACTAGTTCTTCTATTGACATATGTCTAGATGATTATAACTCTTTTTCTGTTTTAAACAAATGACATAATTTCGCAAAAGCTCTATTGTCCATTCTAATATTATCTAGACACTATATATCGTTGTCAAAGATCATTATATTTAAGTTTAACTCCCTAATATGTAGCCTATCATGATATGTTCTATCATAAAAAGTCTACGTCATTTCTTACGTTAATATTTAATAAAGTTACAGCAATAAACATAACACATGCAATAAAGTCTCCATCTAATTCAAATGCATCGTAAGCAATGTAATCAATTGCATCTTCCTTCTTAGTGATAAACTAGCCATAACTATTTAGAAGACAAAATATTGTTAAAGTTGAAAACATAATGGAAAGCAAATCTTGACATATGGTAGATGGAATCTATCAAACATCATCAAATAAAATATATATCACAAACAAAACATTGAAAGATTGGAAGGAGTTAAAACAAATTAACCACAAAACAAGGCATTTATATCAAAAACTTAAATCTAGATTTAAACGACATCTAAAACAAGGAAAAATAAGTTCATTGGAAAGCAACGTCAATTATACACAATAAATCAAAAAGTATAGACATCGTTTTGTGTAAAAAACGAAGATAAACTTAACAAGACGAAGATTAAATGATGGATGAAGAAGCTGATTTTTTTTTTAAAAAAAGTAAATGATATGAGCTGAGATATATTGAAATATGAATAAAAAAAGTATTGGTTATTGAAACATGGTGAAGACATCGAATAAGATGTTTCATATATAAAAACGTCATATTTAATATATAAATCATAAGCTCTTCTGCTTCACGATTAGATGTTAAAATGTTCATATTATTAGAATACAGTCATTGAGAGAGAAAAAAATTTTAATATGGGGCAATTAAGGCGGTTGTAGGAAAAACACCTTAAATGATAATTATTTAAGATGTTTTTTCATACAAACGCCTTAATCGTTTATTTATAGGCATGTTTGAAAAGGATCATGTCATATACTCTGATCAATAAAAATAAAAAAATTGATTTTAAATTATCAATCAAGGCTTTTCAATTGGAAAAACACCTTAAATAATTGAGGCAAGGATTATTTGGGGCGTTTAAAAAAGAAAATGCCATATTTGATAATCATTTAAAGTGTTTCTAGGGAAAAATGTCTTAAATGATCATTATTTATTTTTTTTAACGAAAATACCTGAAAAATTGTATTGCAATAAAAAAATCATATTTGATGACATTTAAGGCATTTTTTAATACCAAACGCTATTAATTGCAATAAAAAAAATTTAACAAAAAAAATATTTAACTGAGTTGCATTCATTTTGAGACATACTTTTTAAAAAAGTAATTGCTATTTTATAATTTTTTATTTAGATCAATTTTGAAAATAAAGCAAATTTTCTCTCTAAAATCTTGGAATACACAGGGAAAGATTGGTTTTTGATTCTGAATCTTTGGATATTATTGGGAATCTATCACTTTTGTCTATAATTGGATTATTCTAAACCAAATGTGAGACTTAAATACCTACAATTAAGATTTCGGAAGAAAATTTGTGTATTCCCCCAAACCAAACGCTGATGTATAATTTTGTGTCAATTAAAATGCGGATAAAATATAATTTTAAAAACAATTAAGGTTTTTTATTATGATAAATAGATATCACTTTTAATTTTTAAAATATGTTTTTGGATTAATTAGATTTTTTTAGGGGTTAATTGTTTAGATCTTTATAAAAATTTTAATTGTGATATTTATGATTTTAATTATTTTTTATGAGATTCATTTAGGATTATAATTAATGTTTAATAAATTTAATTTAAAATTTTAAGCTATCAATTAAGAAATTTTTATGAAAATATTTCTCAAAATATCGGGAAAAGTATTGTAATAAATTATTATGGTGATTTCTCAAACACACTATTTTATACATGTGGCTTTTAACATTATTTGATTTATAACCAATGTTATTTTTTATTTTTTTTTTGTTTAATATGCATATACTTTATTATATATATTTATATTTATATTTATTGAATGATGTATTTTGTTTCAATAAAAAATATGTAAAAAGTTTCATTTCTACCGACTTTCACTAGTATGTATAACAGAAGACCACACGTCCTTTTGCTGGCCATTTCCTACCGCCCTTTTCTTTTTGTAACGGTTAAGAGTAAATTTAATTGGTCTCAATCAATGCCAAGACGGAAAGTCAACTGCTGAGGAGTAAAGGGGTTAGCTAACTTTAGCTACAATGAGACTGGAGTAACGGCTTTTACAGGAAAATTTAACTTCCATTAATGGATACTTAATATGATTTGAGTTTAGAACTGTATGCAAAACCAAAAATCATTTGACCCCAACTCAACTTTCTCAACAGCAAGGGATATCCAGGAATCCGAATGTGTTTCATATTTTGACTTCACGAAATATGCAAATATAATTCAGCTTCTTCAACAGAGTATCAAAAAGATGTAAAATCATGCAGGCCGGAAACAAAGCCAAAGGTGTTTAAAGATGATATATTGACAAGATAATTAGCTGGAATCCATCAGTTTGAGATCACATGGAAAACAACACATGTTTCTCTGTTTTCCTTGATCCACGGCATCTGGAACCACTATAGGATTCCTCTAATGGTACATAACATGTACAAGATAAATCTGGATAAACACAAACTATTTGTACTTGTAAAGATTGCACTTCAACTGCAAGTCAGGTCTCCACCACTGGTGAATCCCATGGGCTTGCTTGAAATCTTGTGAAGGAGTTAGATTCACTGTCAAATTTGCTGAAGGAAGCAGATGCAGAGGTTCTGGAGCCTCTGCACCCCTTCCCACAACACTCATAAATAGACCTCCTAAAGAATGCTGGGTTGCTAACCTCTCAATAGCCCCAGCTCCAATCTCTTCCATCTTTTTCCTATGCTCAAAATAACCAACATATTCAGAGCATATGTGGTCTGCAGGATTCACAAATAGACATGGGGTCCATGCAGAGAAAACAGAAAATGGATCTTCCGACCGACTCCTTAGACTGTTACCCTTTGTGGCAAGAGCAAGTCCTGCTGTGATGACACTGCCTGCAATTCGAAGTCCATGTTTTACTTTCTTATCTTTGATTCTCTCAATTGGTGCAGATAAGAACGGTGGGTTGAAGAGGAAAGCTTCCACAAAAGTGCCTGTCTTAGCCATAGTCTTTCCAGCCAGCACTGCCATTGCTGCCCCAAGAGAATGGCCAGCTAACCAGACATTTGAATCACCCACGGCAGCAACCATGTTTCGAATGGCTTGCATGGCAATCTCAAATCGAGACGTCTGGTGGAGTCCATTTCGTATTATGTGGATATCCAACTCAAAGTCTCTTGAGAAGGAGTCTGGCTTAGTTATGGTACCTCGGAAGGCAATCACATAGTGGGGCCTTGGATCAGTTGAGTCATTACAATGAGATGATGGAGGCTTATACTCATAAATTGCACCAAAGATGCAAAAATCAGCATCATCAACAAGCTTACGAATCAACTTAAAATGGAAGAACTCCCACCAAGGTGGAGCAAGACCTTGAGAACCTTGACGTTTTTCCTGGCGGTCTCGCTCCATAACATAGACACCCTCGACCAAACTGGCTGTTACAGACCTTCGATGATGTGCATTTGTCCTGCTTACAACAGAACCATATTTAAGCGCATGAGACATTATCCACATGCTAAGATTAAAATATATTCAAATATACTCAAGTTCTTACACCTTAAACATCTTTGATTGTTCTGTTTAATGGTTGGAAGATCTTACCAATCTATACTATTTAGGTGTAATGGCCCTGAAAGACCAAAATCTTCCCTCTCAGAGGCCATCAGAGCATCCACAGTTCTTTTTCTTCTTGATACTTGGAAATGCTAAGCTGCATCACAAGTAAAACCAGTGAACGCAAAGCAGCTAGATGTCAAATTATTTCATATGTAATAAAACATACAATCTAAAGACCTGCTCAATAAGATGCATTTATCAATGCAAAGCAAGCATCAACTGGAACATGCAATGTCCCTAAGCTTCAAAATATTCTCCAACAAGAAATTGGATGGAATCATGGAAATACATTTTAACATTTTTCAAAAATCTAGAATATGGTTTCCTATGTTTATCTAGAATAAACTAATTAATCATGTTAAACATTATCAAGAGAAAATTTGAACCACAACAAACCAAGAAGCAAGTTGGTTCCAAACTACTTTTTAAACACCTAATTAAGTTCGAGAACAATTTAGCACACGTTGCTCTGGCAGAATCCAGTAGCAGTACCTGAACCACATTTTACTGAAACAATTCATGAAAGCCACCCAGTGGAAGCCACATAACTTTCTGAGAACTGCAAAACCAAATTCAAATAGGCACCATATAAATCACATGCTACAGACTCTTGTGCCTTAACTCCCAACAGATGCTACAAGTTTGTACTATATTTAAGTATCATTTAATGTTTTTTAGAGTTTGTAGCCTGGTGAGATGGCTGTGGTTGCAGCTAAATCAATGATTATTAAAACAAGTCAGAAGAGAAAAAGTGATCCAAGATTCACAACTATGTATATATATATATACGTACATACACACACATATAAACACAAAAAGAAACTATTGATTTTTTTTTATATGTTTCAAATTACCCCATATAAAGTACCCTCACGTAATCTATATTGAAACTTTTTATCTGATTTCTGTTTATCATACAAATTGATGCAGATCCATCAACATTCCTACAGCCTATGAACCTAACAAGGAATAAAAACCAAAAGCGCATCAGCATAATCAAGAATCAACCAATTTAAAAGCAAACCCACCAGCAGAAATGTCTAAAACCCACCATAATCAGTGCATATTTTTCAAGTCTGCCATGAAATTGAAATAAAATGCCTAACAACATTGCTTAGACAACTACATTAAGTCCTAAAATCAAACAGCAGAATAAAAGATCAACTAGATTAAGACAAACCATCAAGATAAGCGGCTAAAAAATCAAACATCTAAATGCATCTTCGAGTCTAAAACTAAGAAAGCAAAGAAAAAGAAAAAATGGCAATTCTGCTTCAGAATCAGTTACAAGAAACGAAAATGAAAGCGTTAGTGGGCAAATATTGCAGGAAAGATTGTTACCTATTTGTGGAATTAAAAGGTAAGAGCAGATCTGGCTGCCTTATGTATGAGATTTGGGAAGATTTTCCTAATAAATTTGAAGTAGTTGGTTGGCAACACACGAATAAAGCAACGTTAAGATGTCTCTGTCATCCAACAAAAAGTTTTAACAATGTGGGAGCTGTTGGATTTACTGTAATTCCTAAAGTGGAGAGAGAGCAAGCAAAGACCTAGTACGATGTTTGTGTCATTTGGACCTGAAAATTTATGTATTTCTGTAATCATATGTTTATGACGTGTTAAATATATAAATATATGTAAAACATAAATTTTATTATATACATATTAAAAATAGTATGGATTTTTTATTTAATTAAATTTATATAAATATTTATTAAAATTTTTTAATTATATTACTATCTTATTTTTATATCTGCATCGTATCTAATAATTCTGTTCCTGTAACATTATTTTCATTGAAACGCGATGTGTCGGCAGTCGGAAATTACAACCAGCAGAAAGTGAGCTTACGATTGTGGTCTTCAAATGGGTTTTGATGTAAAAAAATTTTAAAATACAAGCAAATTAGAAATAAATAAATAAAAATTTATCAGATTCAATCAATTAAAATTATTATTCTAAATAAAAAAATTTTTAAATTCAAATTTTATCAATGATCATTTATTAAAATCATCTCGAATATATAACTTACCTACTCTCAAATTTTTTTCTTACAAAAAATTAAAATAAAAGAGATTCTCAATTATCAAAAATTTTAACGCAATTTTCCTTTTAAATAGACATAATATTCTAACTATTTTAATTCACCGATAATTAAAGGATTACTTTTAGAAAATTTAAAATATACAAAAAAAGCCTTTTGAAATGATAATTTTAAAACAAGAGAAAATAAAAAATGCAGCAAAAACAACAAATGATGTTGCTTTGTGGAAAGACTTCATGAAATGCAACAAAATAGCCCTTCCCGTTCTTCCCCAATCGCCAGTGTAACTCTGCTCGTAAATGAAAGAATGATGCTACAAGAATTATGTAGCATGATGCCCATCAATCAAATGTCATCACTTTACTTGGACCAAGCCACCGTATCGATTTCTGCTTGGGCACTCCTGTACAATTCCAACCTCTTCGCAAGAGCACTGCGTCGCTCCATAATTGCCGGATCCTCATTCAATAATGCTGATAGTCGTTTTTGCTACAAAAATTTTCCCAGAAACCAATCATACCCATCATCTGTTTTACCAAAATAAGTACATATGAATGAAGATGGTAAGAGAGAAGCATTCTTACCTCCAGTTTACCCAATTCAGTGTAGAAAAAGTCAAGCAGGCTTCTTTTGGCTTCACGAACTTGACAGTAAACGATGGACTTTGGAATGGAGTGGCGCAAAGTAGCGCAGACCATATTAACATAAGACAAAACGGTTGTTCCTGCTCATACATTGTCAGAGAAACCATGATCAAAAATAAAAATGCATTGAATTTTTAATATCCTTCGTTGAAATTTCAAACAATTGAGATCTGTCCTTCAAGAAACTTTCTCTTTTGTGTGTGTGTGTGTGTGTCTATATTAACCTACCGATTCTCCTCAGGTACGAGTCATTGTATCTGTCAAATATTGATTGTGTCGGGTTCCCCCCCTTATCAACATCTTGAGGAAGCTTTCGGAAGAAATCAACTGTGAGGTAACTACATTCCATATCAACCAGTTGAAGTGTTGCTTTTTTGCTCTGTTCCCTCATTCTGTCGAGAGACTCAATTGCAGCATTTCCAACCTCTATTCTGAGAGCAGGATACTGCTTTAATTCCTGAAAACCAAACCAAATTGCAGCTTATATACCACGACCAGCTTGAAGAATAATATATTGTTAAAAATAACGTACTATTTGGTAGTATGATTATTATAATCTCAACAGGCATAATTTCTTTGATATCTTAGAATAAATAAGAAAACAGTAACATACTGAGTCTCACTTATAGGCTTGTGAACCAATCCTTCAAATGAATGAATCTGAAAAATGTGATAAATGAAATTATTTGAAGATGTTAATATAGCTATACTTTAATTTAACATTTATGTAGTAGAACATTTATGTAATTGGAATATTTAGAGTGGATATGAATTCAATGTGGAGACACCAATCACCCTTCCTTCTTCAAAAGAGCATAAAACCTAGAGGAGTTCAGTTACACATCCATGATCCTTTCCCACCCAGGAAATGAGAAAGTTATCTCCAGTAAATTCTAAAGATTTGTACGATATGGGCAAGGTGGGAAAGAATGGTAAACACAACAAGCCAGAAAGGGAAAAGCAATGAAGACCTTAATAGCATTTACCAACATTTTTGGTGTATGACAACTAAATAAAACAACATCCCAAAAATCGCGATTTTTTAAAAAGTTTTGTAGGGAAAGAATCAAAACTGAACTGATGCTAAGGAAAAAAGAAATGGAAGACCAAAATAATCACCACATGCCAAATTCAAAATGATATACCATTTTTCTAAAAGTTTCTTTCATACCGCATCAACTGCAGCCTCAGCAGGGCCTCTGATAGTAATTAAAGTAGATTCAATCAATCGACGATACCCTTGTTCGGGAGCTATTAAATGGGGTTGATATCCATCAGCTTCAGTAATGAGTTTCCTAATATTCTCCATTGATAGTTGCTTGTCAAATTGCAACCTTTTCAAAGCAGCAGGTAGTTGGTTGTCAAAAACATTGTAAACCTTATCACCACCAGGACGCCTGTTAACAACAATGCAAGTCAAAATAGAATCTCGACAAAGAATAGCACAAACAAATGAAGCTGTAAACAGGTGACTTAAGGATGGTAAAAACATGACATATGATACATACACGCCATCCAGATGTTCTCTGTAATTTTGATCAAAAAGACGGCAAATCTCCATGATTGTGTACAACTTACCCTGTATAAGCATCTCAACCATCACCAATTCTCAAAGAAATATAACTGATAATCAACTGCAAGTGGAATAGCTAAAGAAATCCAAACTCCACACACACACACACACACACACACACAACAGGAGGAACACACTTACGCCTGCATCAGCTGCAATAGGCTTTCCAAGGCGACTCAATTCAGTTTCAAGCTCGGCAATTGTTTTATTTATAAGAGACTGAATGCCCGGTATTCTGGACTTGATTACAGTTTCCAAATGCTGAAAAATTAACCCGTATGACTAGTTTAATACAACTGAAGAATAGGTAACGCTGAACCCAGTCTGGACCTTTGCAGCTTTGCAAGAGAAAACCAAGGATAAAAAAAGTATAGAACAAAAATAAAACATGCACAAAATGCCCAGGAACATACCTTTGAGAGCATCTTAGCAAGATGCTCAGAACCCATTCTGTGAGCAAGGTGCTTATACTCTGGCGTATTAGCAAAATATTCACGCTCTCTATGCCGAGCAGCAATCATGTCAACATTCTTGTTAATATCTGCTTGTGAGCGATTCACAACACCAATCCAAGGGAATTTCAGCCGATAAGATTTTCCATCCAATATCTAAATCATTGGACATATGAATCAGAACATGATAATGCCTAAGGCATCCAATACTTAAGACTTTAAACGGTTTTAGCATGTCAAAATCATGCATTAATCAACTTACATCAACTGCATCTGTGCCCTTATCCATCAGATCAATCTTTGTCAACACACCAAAAGTCCTCTCCCCTGAAAGGTTTCTACCAATGCTTAATATTAGAAAATCCAAAATGTGCAACCATAATACTTTGAACAACCCATAAGCCAAAATGCTTACATATCATAGCAATTTTTACGATAGGAGTATAAATTTAAAACCACCCATGGCTACCTATGATATTACTAATGAAAAGGCAGAGAAGATGATAATCCTAAGGTGCATGGCAAGGAAAAAATAATATAGAATGAACTGGTATTGCAAAAGAATACCTGTAGGGTCTACCTCACGAGAGATTTTAATTGCGTCTGATGTAGCAAGATCTTGATTAGCAGGTGAAATTGCTAAGATTATACAGTTGGGCTGCATAAAAAGTTCAACAAACAAAGTAGTGCAACACTGTTCAGCCTCCAATTTTGCATAAACCATGAAAGAATGTACACAGCAAATTTATTGGGGGAAAGAGGAAAAAGCAATACAGAAAAAATCTATCCACAATCTACTTTTCCTACGACTTGAACAGAAATCACATTAAAAATATCTCTTATCATAAAAGGCAGTCTACTGTAACATCATAGTAAATCTTATTGAAATAAATTTTCCTGGAACTGGAGCACTGGACTTACACAAGAAAAAAAAAATTATTTTACCTTCTCAATATAGGAACGAACCATATTCTCGATATCTTGCACAATGCTGTCTGGTTGACCCTCTGTGTTCAAGTAGATGATCCGTCAACTTCACATAATATTATACAAAGTAATAGAGAATTTTGCAAATTATATTGCGATGAGGAGGCAAAAAAAGGGAGTTCTTTTTTTTTTTTAAGTTAAAAGTGCAAAAGTGGTAAAAAGCTATAGTTATTATATTTGAATTTTACAGGGGAAAAGAAAAAATGCAATTGTGAAGATTACACTTATCAGCCAATCAATAATGGAAGACTAAAATTGAGTTAAAGTAATCTAAGGCTTGGCATTTTCTGTAAATTTACTAGGCTTTTCCGTAACTTACCAACTGCTACCTTAGTTAGACCAGGAAGGTCAATCAGAGTCAAATTAACAACTGCAACAAAATAAACAAAAAACCCTAATAAGTAAAGAAAAAATCTTGAAAATTTACAAACAATCAAATAATCTACCAAATAAAAAGGATAAATTTTTACAACCGGATCATACCGTTGGGAGAATATATACTAAGATGAATTGGAACACTGGAGATTTGTTTGGTTCGGCCAGTTTCTCTATCCGTCTCATCTTGAATCTCCTTCCGAACAGCAGCTATAACACATATAATAATATAGTTAAGATCTAGGATTTATCTGACATGGAAACCAAAAGAACAAGAAATTTACCAAAATCTGTGAATCTTTTTCTTGGAAGATGAAGAAACTCAGCGTATTCTCTGCTTCCTTCATCACTCTTGTGAAGCTGTAACACCAGAGGTCGCCTAGTAACAATTCCTGCATTAATTTTTAACGCAAAAAAAGAAGAAAAAATAATCAGTTTCTTAAGTAGTAGTTTTTAGCGAGCACTCAGGAGTAATTGACTTAATGCGGTAAATTTTTTTTACCGGATCCACGCGGTAAAAAATCCTTGCCGACAATGCTTTCCAGCACCGAAGACTTCCCTGAACTCTGTTGAAATTCAGATCTCAGATCAGCCGAAAATAAAACAAGAAAGATAAAAAAACAGTTGACTAAAATTGAAAAGAGAAGGAAAGATCGAGTGCAGACCTGACCACCGACGACGGCGATCGTTGGTAAAGAGTCCCAAAGTGTAGGCAATGCGCTTGCCTCTCCATGGTCACCAAGAGCCGTGCAAGCTCTTTGAATCTTGTTGACAAGAGAAATCAAATTCTCCATTTTTTTTCTTTTGAAGCAAAGATCGGTGCCGGTGACTAAAACGACAAGGGATTCAGATCAGCTAGATCTGACCTTATGAATTAAAGAAACGTCACCGTCAGATCTGTGCGAGAACCAAAAGAAATGCCTTCTACAGAAACAGAAAGAGAAATAGACTTCAGAGTAATTTTTTGAGGTTTTGAAGTGGGAGAAGAATAAAGATCCTGGCTTTAAAATGAAGTGCTTTTTTTTATTATTATTATTTGATAATTTTTCCACCGGGTTTTTTTTTCTTTTTCTGTTTGTATTTATTTTGTTGTTTGAAGTGAAGCTACACGTCCATGGCATCAAACAGTAAGACGAGTGAATACGACAAAGAGATTAAGCAAAGCCGGAGGTAACGGGTGGTTGAGTAAGAAGATTTTTGACTCGCGAGTTTTCGCTGCAAAGTCAATTCCTAATTTCTACCTATTACTAAGGCTGCGTTTGGGTGTTTCATGTTTTAAAGTATTGAACTTTTTTGAGAAATCTTTTTTTTTTTTTTTTTGAATTATCGATAGTTATTGTTTTTAAGTTTAAAACTTTTGTCCTCCGAAAAAAATATCACTTTAAGGTGCTTTAAATTTTTTTGAAGTCAAACTTGTAATAGTAAATTAGATTATTAAAATGTGACTATAATTAATTTAAAAAATAAATTATAATTATATCAAAGTTCATTTAAATGGAGATAAGATTAAAAACGAATGTAATAATAAAATTAAATACTATAACAATTAAATTAGATAATATAAAAATTAATGATAAAAATATATATTTAAACACAAGTTTAATAATGATGATAAAATTAAATATGATAATAAATTATTCTACCAAAAATTATTAATCATTATAATTGAAAATTATCATTATTTTTTATTTATCGCAAGAGAATTGACTATCTTAAATCCTTCCCTTTTCAATAAAAGATTAAAAGGCAATGAAATTTGAGCCCTAATTGCACCAGAGTGCGGTAATAGAATCCAAACTAAACCTGAATAAATAAACACAATACAACTGAAAATAAGTTTTAAAAAAAAAAAAAAGAGAGAGAGATTCAAATTACTCACGATTGAATTCCTAAAGTTTGGGTTTTCCCCCCAAATTTCACATTTGTCTATAGTCCAGGCTTCCAAAATTAAAACCCAAACAAAAGGACCCACCATCTTTTAAAATTGTCCAGTATTACCGTTGCCTCTTGCCTTCATTAGTGGTGGCCCCTTCCCTACCTCTACTAGGTTCAAACTCCAGCGTCAAATACTTTAATCAGGCAATGATGTAGATCTATCCGTTAATGTATCAATGTTTTTGAAATGCGAATAAAATATAAAAATTATTGTTATAATTTATATTTATATATTAAACATAAAATATATTTTTTATTTTTATTAAATTTATATATAATTTTTTTGACTATAAATAAAATTTTACTCAACATAAAAGATGACAAAGGACAAAGAGGACATTGTCATTGAAAACAGTTGTACTTCATGTTCATTTAACAGGGTAAAAAACAATTTACTGCTTTTGATTACAGCCACAAAGGAAATTACTAGCGATGATGGGCGCAACATAAGCTTCAGAGCAATTGAAGCCCAGCAACCTAAACAAATTGCCTCTTATTCTCTATAATCGTAACATCACCATCTAAATGATAATCGCCTAAAAATCTGTGAATAGTAAGAGTTAGAAAAACCTAATCTCAGAAAAGTCTTGATAAGAATCGTGGCACTCAGTGAGTTGAATCAGGACTCCCATATCCATACGGGTTCTTGCTGGCCCAGTTCCACTGATCCCTGCACATCTCCTCAATACTGTATTTTGCCCTGCAGCCACAACATAATTGATGCAAGAGTTATAAGATAATAAAAACTTAAATTTTGCATGTATGTGAGCTCTTACTTCCAATTCAATTCACGCTCTGCCTTCTTCGTTGAAGCATAAACAATTTCAGCATCACCGGGTCGACGTCCAGCCATTACAAGAGGGATTTTCTGATTGAAGTAATAAATTTGGCATGTTAACTAAATACCAAGAATAATCAATGAGTATAACTCAAAAGATACGAAGACAAGGGAACAAGGAAGCAATACCTTCCCGGATGCCTTTTCAAATGCACCAACCATCTCCAAAACCGATGTTCCCTTTCCTGTTCCTAAGTTGTAGACCTCACAACCTGAAATACCATAGCTAATAAAGGACTGATTCTACGGAATTCTAGCCTCAATTTTGTATATATTCGAATATATAGTTGTAAATACAGAAAAGAGCAAATAAGAAAGAACCACTTCAATATATGACTCTGCTATGCTACTATAAACCAAATACTTGAGGCATTTTAACAGAGTCACAGACAGCATTAAATAGAAGACAATTAAGTACAAAATAAAAGGAAAATGAATAACAATGGACTACGTTTAACAAAACAAAGAATGTGAACATACCTATATTTGGATCAGATAATTTCCGTAGTGCAGCAATGTGGCCATCTGCTAAATCAACAACATGGATGTAATCACGTACCTGAAAAGAGATAAGTATCAGCTCTTTGTCAAAGTGATCAAAACCTCGAATCAAAATTTACTAATAAATGCATGTTTAAGTTCTTTCTTTTTTTTTTGAAAAAAAAATTGTCAAAGCTAGAGCAAGAATAACAAAAAAAGTCCTGAAGCATATTGGTTCAAAATGTTACAAGGCACATACTTTCTACAAATTCCTCTCTTAATGCCAAAAAGGAAGTCAGAGCTTCATAGGGATGGTCTAATTTATTATAAGGAAAAAAAGGCGTTTGCATAAAGGAATGATGTGGCCAGTGCAAATGGGGATTAAGTGAGTCTGTGGGAAGATGCATGGATTCCCAGTGTTAAGGAGTATAGAGTAAGTATACAAGGAATCCAAGGAAATGTTAGGAGTTTAATGTATCAAGCTTAATTGACGAGGAAACTTATAGAGGAAGCTAAACAGAATTCAATATCATATTACAGTTCCTACACATATTAAAACCAAATCTGAAATATGAGATAAGATTTATTGGAATCTAACACCCATTGTTACTGATAAAAACTTACCCCAGTACCATCCTTTGTTGAATAATCATTTCCAAACACTGTCAATGCTGGTCGCCTCCCAACAGCTACTTGTTGCACAAAAGGCATGAGATTGTTTGGAATACCCCGGGGATCCTCACCTATGGAGCCACTAGGATGTGCACCAACTGGATTAAAATATCTTAGAAGTATGATCTTCCATTCAGAATCAGAACCACGGATATCACGACAGATCTTTTCTATGAAAAGCTGAAAGACCAACCATGTCAGAAATGATCAGATGATGCTATGGGAGAACATGTTAATTGACAAATGCCTAAGTACCCGTTAAGATTCATAAACAATACTAGTAAAATCAGAATGACCATTGACAGTTCTTTATTTATCCATACTGTTTTTTTGAGTTGCTAACGAGTATGCACTTAAGAAATGATCAGTGCATACCTTGGTTCGTCCATATGGATTCACTGCAGCCACGGGGAACTCCTCTGTACATGGAACCTCCTTTGGCCAGCCATAAACAGTGGCAGATGATGAAAATACAAGCTGAAATGTGTTAAATTAGAAGATTAATCAGGTTCTAAAACCCAAAATGAAACTCAATGAATTATACAAATTCATAAACTGATTCTAGATTCAATAGGGTCACAATCTGAAGTTACACAACTATCCATGAATCTTTGAATTGATACAGAAGAAATCAAAGTGCATTTCTTTTTATCTCTAGTATTAATAGCGATGCAAAGAAACAAAAGGCCGACAACTGCATTTTATTTATTTATTCTTTTGTAATACCCAAACTTATATCGCTGCAGATCTATCATACAGAAGGAAGGGAGAGAAAAGTACATTTTACATCCATGTGCAGTCATCACTTCCAACAGAGTGATTGTGCCAATGAGATTGTTGTCATAATAGAGCAATGGTTTTTGTACACTTTCGCCAACTGCTTTTAGTCCAGCAAAGTGAATCACAGCATCAAACCTGCAACATAAGCTTAATAACCTTAGAAGTTGAGCAAGAGGAAAAGGCAAAAGGAAAACCACATATAAATTCCAAACGGTACTTTGTCTCAGCAAAAAGTTTTTCGAGTGCTGGTCTATCCCGAAGGTCCACCTGCAGTTGAAAGTAGAAATTCAAACATTAGGGCCATCACAGATTCAAGTTCATAACAAAACTTGGGCACGTAAATAATAATATAATGATATAATATTTTCTTTAAACAACAGTATAGTTACAATGATTTAGCAGCACATGATGGATTTTGATTATTGACCAAAATCAGACAAATTCCAATATACACTTTATTCTTAAGAAAAGTAAAAAAACTGGTGGTTGTATTTATAGCAGTTTATCTGCTTCTTTGGACAAATTATATATATATATATATATATAAGATCAATTTACACAATGTAACTCTTTTTTAGTTTTATACATTTTTCTAACATTTGATTTTAACATATCTAAGGGATGAGAGAGACATCGAAAACTAAAAATCAATGATTAAAAAAATATGTAAAATTAAAAAAGAGTTATACTATATAAGTTGGTCCTTCCTGTGTGTGTGTGTATATACTTGAACTGCAAGTTTCAAGATGATAAAAGGTTAACAATTAATTACTAAAGAAAAATTATTGTGTAAAACTTTTAAATATCATCCAGAAAAGCAATTAATAACAGGTATAGCCTAGTAGTGAGCTAGATCCAAACATTCCCAATCAAAAGAGAGACTCAATAAAATTAGAAAAAAGGGGTAAAGATACATATAAGAAAATAACACTTTTTGGGTTACTGACAATAAAATAATACTATTGAAACACAAAAACAAACCAAACAGGCTTTATTATAACTTAAGGAATCTTCAATGACAACCCAGTAACTTTGTTTAATCAAATTATATAGCTAACTCAGTTGTTCAATTTGAACGACAAAAGGCCTAACTTTTTCATGTGAATTTCAAGCAATCACTGATAAATTTTTTTGGAGCAGTTATTATTTATAAGTTACCATCACAGTTCAATTCAATGGAAACAAAGCCAAAAGTATTTATAAATCAATTCACCAATTCCTTCATCAATCAAATTAAAACGTAAAAAACCATTCGAAAAAAAAAAACACAAATTTTCGTCTAAAAAAATTTCAACATCATATCACCGAATTTTACAATTCACCATGTTGGGAGCTATAGCAATTCAGTTATCAACCAAGCCTTAAAGATTAATTCAAATTAAACCAATTAGATTCCAAATTAGCTATGAAAGCATAAACATTAAAGAAACCTTCCTTCCCTGGCAACCAACTCAGCAGTCTCTCATTAAAATGAGTACGAATACACCTCAAGACATATTTTCTTTCTTATAAAAAAATGGACAAAAAAGGTGAAAATCGGCGAGCTCAACCGTCCAACGAACCTGGTGAAAGGAAAGGTTTCGGCCGAATTCACCGGCGAGTTCTTTGACTCTTTTGATAGCAACCTCCGACGAATTATCCAGATTATCAACGACCACCGCTCTGTAACCGCCTAACAGCAATTGCAACACCGTGTGGCTCCCAATATAACCGGCTCCACCGGTCACCAGAATGTTCTTCGACATGATAAATCCAGTCATAAAAAACAGAGCAGAGCAGAGAAAATGAAAAACGGTGAGAAGAAGAAGACGAGAAAAGAGCGTTGCGAATATAAAGCTTTCTCCTTTGAATTAAATGATAGAAAAGAATGGGGAATATAAAATGGGAGGAATGAGAATTAAAAAGAAAAAAAAAGGAGAGGATATTGAAAAAAAAATAAAAAGAAAAAGGAAAAGATTTTGTTAACGTTTTTGAATGATGAGAGAAAGTGTGCGTTGAGAGCATCGGCCACGTGGTGAAATTTAATCTATATTCTCCAACTTCCGGGAGTACCCAGATTCTGTGGCGGTTTGGGATCGGTTTGGACCAAACTAACCTTCTGATACTGTCGTTTTTGTCTTGTTTGGGAATAGATATTCTCGGGGTTTTTGTACTTTTCTAATTATTATTACATGATTTTTTCCAGAAAATTCGGCGAAGCTTTTGATTTTTTTTTTTTAAACTATGATTAAAAAAGAAAAAGCAAAAAACTGGTCTGGACTTTCAAAAGAAATCATTTGTTTCAATAAAGAGTTCAGTAAAATTAGGATGTGTTTTTTATATTAATGAGATATGAATGAATTTTTTAATTTTGAGAGTGACATTGAGAATGAATATAATTTAAATTTTTATTAAATGTAGATGTATGGTTGAGAAATATAGTACTTGTTCTGTAATTATATTTTATATATTTACATATATTTAACAATTTAATTTTCTATTTAATAATATAAATTAACTATAATTAATATATATTTATAAAAAAATTATATAAATATATAAGATAAATATAAAAAATTAAAAAATAATTTTATTTGTTATTTTTTAAAAAAATTATACGAACAAAGATTATCTTTATTCATTAAATATCTATAAAAGTAAAAATAAGATGAATTTAAAATATCTATTAAGTATTTATGTGAAAATAAATATAAAATAAAAATTCAAATATGATGACGAAAAGTATTCTATTCGTCTCATTTCCTACTTATTAACATTCTTAACTAGAATAAGAATTAAAATAAAGAAACAAAAATATTAGTAAATTACCGTATTAAAATTAATAAATTATCATATTAAAATATCATTTAGTATTAACATAGATGATTATATCAAGCTTTTAGATTTTATAAATGGAATTAGTAAAATAATATATATTTTCTAAAAAATATTAAAAACAAAACTAAAATTTGTGTTTTTTTAAAAAAATTGATTGATCACATATAAAAACAAATTTATATTTCTAGGCTTTCTTTGAAAATGAAACTGTTTTTACTAGCAAGTGCTTATAAGCATTAATTAAAGATAAATCAAATATATCAAAATTCATTAAAATTTTTATAAATTTTACAAATTTATATAATAAGACATTTTAATTTATCGATATTGATTTTTAATTTTAATTTTAATTTAATTATTTTTTATAAAAAATTTTTATAAATTTTACCTAAAAATTTTATCTAAATCTTTTTCTTGGATTATTGTGTGATAGTGCAGTAGCGATAAAAATATATATTTTATGTGAATTAAAATTTTAAATGTGTCATAACTCACAGTCCATAGCCTATGGGAAAGTGAAGGTCCAAAATCAATGATATCTTGAAAAGCAGCTGCTAAAAGCGTTTACTATGAAAAAGGAGAGAAAAATGTTTGGAATGATGACAGAAAATTGTAGGGCTAAGTGACATTAAATATCAAATGGAAGAGAAGATTTGTTTCAATCATGAAATTTTGATGAACAAATGTATGGAATGGAATAAATTCCGTGGGACGTTGCTATCTTTTCGAAACGCAGATTTGGATAATGCAGCGAAATCCATCTCTACCTTTTTGCAAAGGAAGGGTAAAGACACAGAAGTTCAATAATATTTCCTGAATGCTCTGGAAATGAGTAAAGTTCCCTTTTTAATTAAACGAACGAACCAAAAAAAGGTAGATTTTAGCCTTTAGCCTTTAAAATGAATAACAAGTAGGACAAATGGCAGAAGAAAATATTTTGAGGCCACCACCCCCAATCAAAAATGAAAAGAAACAAAAGGATTAAATATATGAAGCTGTTAATTTTTCATCTGATATATCCTCCAATTCGTTGATGAAATTAAAAAATTTTAGTATCAGTATATCAAATAATTTTTTTTAATTCATTGACATAAAAAAATTAATAATTCTTAGCCAGAGGGAAAAAAATCACCATTGTTTTCTTAGTTTATAGTATATTTATTTGCTGCAAATTTTACAAATCTTCGTTACATGTGAGAAATAACATTAATATACAAAAGACTACTGTTTGAAGCAAGTTATCCAGCAAGCAGTTGGAATTGCTCTTGGCTTTGACTAGGAAAGTAGCTAAGTATCCATGTTTTGTTGCCACCATCTTACGACATTTGATCCAGCATTAGTTAGTGAAATGCTTCAAAAGGTATTTGGATCATTGTCAGAATGTCAGACATCTGGTCTCCAATATTGATGACTCAATTTTTTACTGACGCAACCAAAAATGAATGCCCTGGGGCCGAAGCATATGAAGCTTCACCAGATTCGGGAACAGAAGTTTAAAACACGAGTTACATACAAACAATTTTACACCTCTTGGGGAACAGTCAAACATCCCAGAAAGCAAAACATACAGAAATAAACCGACCTGATTTCTTCTGAGTCAACACTAACTATGTTGCCGGAAACAAGCTCAAACTTATAGCGACATTGGGCACAACATACAATCTGCAGAAAATGAATAAAAGCAGAAAGTAAAATCTTGGTTAAAAGATACGTTAATTTTGGCTTGAGACTTCAAAACTTTTGCAAAAAAATTCTATAGAGGTGCAGAAACAGAGCTTAAAATTCAGGCAACCTCCGGACAAAAGCTTGTTATCTTCTTATTTTGGAAATAAGAACAATAAAAAACATTAGCAAAAGAGAAGAGAAGGTAGCAATTCAAGCACTAGAAATCTACTGGGCAGGTAAAAATGAATCTCTTTTCTTTCTCTGGTTAGACCATAACCTTGCGGTTGGCATTTGTGCAGAAGGTTCAAGATTATGCAACTACAACCTAGATTTTGTGGCAGCGATAGCACTCTTAACGAACATCAAATTCTAGAAGTTTTAATTACAGAACAAGCAATAAATCAGTAACAAAAACTTCAATATATTTACCTGAATGGGACATCTAACAACTTTGCCAAAAGGAACCTTTAAAAAGAGACAAAAAAAAAAAAAAGACCCAGAAGGTCTTTTCAATCAGAATGATCAAAAGGAACATCTTTTAGAACTAAATTAAGTACAAAGAAAAAACTGGGTCCATTCCTACTCGGCAAATATCATCGATCATTCGAAGAGCATCGGAGACCCTTAAGGCTTAACGATGCTGCCAATCCCTGAACTAATGTCGTGTAGAATGTAGGTACTAAGATCGAGTGTTGACCGTTTCCATCTATATCAATCAATAGCCCTTTCTCACTTAACGCCTTTCAACGAAAGCATTCAAAAACTAAAATAGAAATACAATATTTTGCAATGTTTTAAGATTAAATCAGAAAGGAAAATTAACCTGTGTTGAAACTGGAACGCATGGCGTAGAAAACAGACAAAGCTAAGTAAGCATTGTTACAATCAAGCCTAGCGTTTATCATCGAACGACAATCAGAACCACTCACGACGCCGCAGATTCGTTGTTCACTGCTTTCACTCTGATTCTTAGCACTCACTCTGCTTCCATTCTTTTTCCCTTTTGGTTTACTAACTTTGGACGAAGGAAGAAGATAAGGAACGAGAGTTTCAGATTGAGATTGTGTTCGCCTTTGATAGATTTTGATATGGTGTGCCCATTGGCGGCTGATCATGTAAAGAAGATAGGAAAAAAAAAATTGAAATATGAATGTGAGATTGGAGGTGCGGGGAATCGAACCCCGTGCCTCTCGCATGCGAAGCGAGCGCTCTACCATATGAGCTACACCCCCGGGTGCCAATACGCTGACAGCATTTCTTATAATTTTTTTTTCTTTTTTTGCGATTCTTTATAATTTTTTGCAAGCTACTCTATATTTTACTAACTACAATAATATATTCCATGCTGCCTACCAGTTCCTACGTCCATTGGGCTATCATGATTATGATTAGGATTCTTAACCACAAGATCCCGTGGAATTTTAGTTTCATTCTCTGGGAAGTCTCGATACCCAGAACCTTAGTGGTATTTTGAGACAGATTAGAGGAGAAAAGAGTGGCACTAGGGGCTGTTGAACGAGCAGGCGAGTGCCTTGCCCTTTCCAGTCCTATAAAGCGGAACAATTGTTGGAATCAAATGGAAACCACCAGCACGAGTGGTACAAACTTAACTCGAATGGATCACCAAATGGAAATCCAGGTGGAACTGGGGCGGGAACTGTCATTCGGAACCATGAAGGAAGTTGGATCATTGGTTCACAGACAGATTCCAAAAAACACAAGTGCTAGTTTTTTATCGCATTGCAGGACTCTCTTTGCCGAGCTTGACCAGATAACCGTACCGCACACGTTTCGGTAGTGGAATAAATGTGCTGATGCTCTGGCTCAAAGAAGGAGCAGTTTCTCGAACCCTTAACAACGGATGCTTTTAATTTCAACGCACACTTGGTTGTTTGTAACTTTCCAACAACCCTCCGATCCCCTGTTTTGCCTAGCGGGGAGGGGGTGTACAGGACTATTTAGCAAGTTATCATAGTTCCTTTTGCTGACCAAAAAATTCATTGATCATCAATAAATATTTCATTGCCTACAAGCACACACTTCTCCCAGTGCAACATGTGAACGCTTCCAAGAACCAATAGCAAGTGCAAGAAAACCAATATACATCACTAGTTCAGATGAAACTATAAAATACAACTGAATCTCACATTCTCTAATAAAAAGCTTTGAAAGAGCAAGTTGATATTGATAGCAAAAGTGAAAAACAAACAGCCAGTATCAACCCTCTTGGCTTCTCATCCACGTAGGAAGAAATGACAAAATAGAATAAGGTAAAAAGCTTGTCCTACAGCACATGGAATACATCTCACACCCTTTAGTTGCCAAATCGGCCTCTTCCCCATGGCATTCTTTGTCGACCACCACCATTACGTTGTACAGCATTGGTCTGACGTGACAATACCCTCATTCGCTGTTCCTTCATATTGGCAAACAGGGAATCCAGTGTTTGAGGCCTTTGCTTTGTTGCTATATTTCCTTGTTGATCCTGCTGCTGCTGCAGCTGTGGCTACAAAGATAAAAATTGCTCGCTTGGCATCAATTAAGCATAACTAGTGTAGTAACCAATTAATTTAAATGACAAACCACATATAACTTCCGTTGAGATAGAATAATACCTTGGTTGCAAAAGCTCCATTCATAGCCCTCTTTTGGACAGGTGGTGCCCCAATCCTGCACCCATAAGTGACAACCATGATTGGATAACAGAAACAATACAAAACAATCAGAGAGGTAACGCAAACAAGAGACTAGCTTTCACCCAACATGCCCAGCAATCAGCATCAAAATGTTGAGACTTGAGAATCTTACCATCTGATGAAGACAGTATTTATTTCCAATAAGCAGAGAGATAAGACAAACCATCGGTAATATAACTCCTATGTACCGCAAAACTTTTCCAATTCAACAACATAATCAAGAGTCTAAACCCCACTCTGCAAATACTCGGCTATTACAAGAAACAGAGAGAAAGTCCTCCAATGCAATCGCAGAACTGGGGAAAACCAAAAGGGTGAATTCTCCAGACTATGACAAGCAGCAAACTTCCATTTGAGTAACTTCCAAACCCCGCCTTCTGAAGAAAATCAACACATTCCGTAGATGCCACAAAAGTTTGCATAACAGCTGTCTAATTTACATCTAAACAACTAGATATAATCAACTTAGCCCCTTCAACATTCCCCAACACAATATTCTTCCTGCTTCAGTATTTCTAGCTCAAAGATTTCTATATGGCGCCAGAGGCAGGCAGCAATCTGCTCTCTTCGTTAAAAATTATCCATTTAAATCAAGTATCATTGTGTCAATCAATCCATAGTACCAAGATAAAACCCAGGCATAAATTAAGCAGGTAACAGAAATTCTAGACATGATGAGAATGATGAAGCATCAGCAGTGGACTCGGAAAAAAGGGCTTGTTAGATAAACCACATGCCTCCAGACTAGTTAAAACTAGTTGTTTAAATTAAAGGAGATACAACCTCCCAAATGACTAAAGTCATTAATTAATCTGAAGTGGCCAAAGCTACTTGATAAAGAAAATCAGAATCAAAGCAATAACCCCTTTAGCATGAATACAAACTACCCAATTAACATTTCTAGACCTGTGAAGAGTTTGTCCAGTCATGTAACACGCAATCTACATGAACAATGTTAATCAATGAATGCACATATACAGCTCTTGTGCAATTGCAATCATCATAATCGGGTGCCATTTTTTCTAAATCCACCTTCTTCAAACATGATAATCACATTTAACACTTGCCATTCCAGGCTTCAATATCCAACCCAAAAGGCAACAAACCAATTCCAAAATAGGCACCACTTAACCTGATTAAGGGACTTCGCACATCATAGATATAAAGCTTATGCTACAAGCGTACTATTTTGGGTAGTGTTAACAAGAAAAAACCAAACACTTTCAAGATAATCCAAATTTGGCCACTTTTCCACAAGAAACGTAATCAAATATTTGGGAGTTCCACATAGCATGCAACTTTAAATAAGTTAATGAGGACCACACATTCCAGAGGTCATTGATATTGTAGAAGATCCACGATTTTACCTGCAATGATTCAATGATAAAAATAAGCCACTAAATGTGTAGTAAGTTGTCATAAACACAACTTTTCCAGCAATTAGAAATCATAGCTGCTAGCATAAAGCAACAATATGAGCTATTAGAAATCCATATACCTTGGTTTGTTCAAATTAGCCACCCTACCACCATTAAAAGCTCTAACTCGAAATGGGGCAACTGGAGCCCTACGTGCAGCCTCAGCTGCCAAAGGGAACCGGTTCCCCTGGAAATTTGACCTTCTTTGAGCTAGAACCCCCTGATTAACATACATGACGCAGAAAAGAAAAAAAAAAAGAGTTGAAGTCAATGTCTGCAACCAGAAAGTATCGCAAATTTATCAACAACATCATTAAAAACCCACACCTGTCTAAGAAAGGACCGTGAGTCCATATACTGCGGCACCTTCAAAGCCTTGTCTTTAGCAGCATTACTCACAGGTTTCTGACTTTTATTCTGATGGTAAAGAAAAGAACAGATTAGAATATCAACTTAAACATGTGGAACAATAAAAGTGTTTCTTGAGGAAGAAAATTCTTACAGGTGCCCATCGCTGCTTATTGGTTTTATTTGAAGGGGTTTTCGACATTTTAATGATATCATCTAAGTCCATAGAAAATAAAAACTAATCAGAAAACTGTTTTGTCGCTAAAGAAAATAACTTAACAAGGCACAAACAGCTAACAGCTCACCCAATGTCATGTCCATTTTCTTTTCCGTAAGAGCGATTGCTTCACTTGTAAGAGGTTTAACCGCCATCTGACAACGTAAAAAGAATTAATCCAAAACAGTAGCTGGAGATAATTTGAAATAAAGTAACTGTTTATTTAAAAAAGCCAGCTCAATCTTAAGAGATAAGACTCAGAAACCTTACTGAAAGGCAAGAAGGAACAACCTTTTAAGTAATTGCAAAATCAAAATTAGCTAATAAATAACCTCCACGATAAAAACTCATCCACAGGTTTACTATCGAAAAGTTAAATTTAAAAAACCCTAAAATTTTTAAGAATTAATCAAACGAAACAAAAAAAAAATCCTTCGTTCACCAAACCAACATATAAAAGAAGTAGCAAGTTTCCAGATTAGGGTTTCCTCAGGTGTTCAACCAACCAATAAAAGAAATCAACTCACCATCCAAACAATACAGATACCAATTTGCAGATTAGATAAGAGAGATTCGAGAAAAGGTAAAGGGATTGAAAGTAGAAACTTACGGATTTTGAAAAGAAATTAAACGAGGAACTTTGATGAGGAAAGCAAAACGAATTCAAGACTTTGGGTGGAAAAGAGCAATTAAACGAGGAACTTCGATGAGGATAGCGAAACGAATTCAAGACTTTGGGTGAAGCCCGGGCTAGGGTTAGGGTTTTCGAAGTTACTTCTTCGAAGCAGGAAATAGAAGGAAAAAAGAAAATATTGCAACGCTTGGGATGCTTCGCGGTTACGCCAACAGGAAAACGCGTAAATTGTCCTCAAGGGGACCGGTGTTTTATAGAGGGCCGTCGCTTGGCGGATTTCAAGTTTCCACTAAAATTCATTGATCGTTTAACATAATTAGATTTCAAGTCCGTCTTTAATTAGTTTTGCCGGTAATTAGGGAGTATTCCGAGTACAGCTCAGCACCACAAAATCACGATGGCTTTTGCTAATTGACAAATACGAGTCAGCCACGTCGGAGACCATTGCCTTTGTTTTTTGGAGGAAAGTCGAAGACTTTAAGTGGCGTGCTGTTATTGCCATATTGGTTTTTATTAAGCAGGATTCTTTAGGCATTGGGCTCCTAAACCGTTCAATTGAGATCTTTGTTATTGATATTTCTATTTATCTTCTGTTTTTTGTTATTTTAATATTTAATTTCTATTTTTTTTTTTATAAAACGTAAAAGACAAATTACAAAAAAAACCATATGATTTAATAAAAAATGTAAATACCCTGCAACATGATTGCATTATTTCCACTTTATAATTAAAGAGGTGAAAAGAGATTATTGCTTTTGACCCAAAAAAATAGAGTATGAAGTTGGCAAAGCTGTTTGGTCACCTCGATCAACACGTACTTATTCTAGGAATTATGCCTCCACCCATACCTGATGTGGGACTAAATTTTCCTGCACTACTGATTAACGGGGAAAAAGGGCTCATCAGTTGACTCCATAGATCCATTTCTCTGCGTTAATTGTATAGCTAACCAGTTCTTGTGGCTGAAACCACAAGTTGATTTCGTTCTTGGCAGTCTCAGGACCATCACTCCCATGAATTATATTTCTGCACGGTAAAAGAACAACCGAGCTTCAGATCGGTCGTGAAATGTCATTCATGTAAAACTAATGTATAGCAACAACAAAAGCTTATACCTTCCGACAACCACTGCTAGATCACCTCTGATGGTTCCAGGCTCCGATTTCTGAGGATCTGTTGCTCCTATGAGTTTCCGTCCATATTTTATCACTCCCTCTCCTTCCCAGACCTGTGTGCAAATTAGATTAGTTCGTCTAAGTTCAAAGCAAATACTACAAGAAGATACGATTTCTAGTTCCTCTTACCATAGCAATAACAGGACCAGAGCTGAGGAATTCACACAGGCCGTTGAAGAAGGGCCTTTCCTTCAAGTCATCATAATGTTTCTGGGCAAATTCCTTTGAAGGAATCAATATTTTGATAGCCACAAGCTTGAACCCTTTGCGCTCAAAACGAGAAATGATTTCCGCAATCTGGAACATAAACAAGCTTTAGCTCAGCCATCTGTCACGTTTCATTTCACAACCCAAAAAACTGCTAAACTTGAAAACGAGACAATTTTTAATTTTATTCTAAAATATAAACTACAAGCAAAATGAAACAGCCAACAAGTAAGAACATAGGATAATACAACAGTGTTGATATTCATTATTTCAATCAACACTAAGATAATTGAGAAGACATCTTAAGTTGATGATACAGATCAGATGAATCTTACCAGCCCTCTTTGTACTCCATCAGGCTTGATAGCAATGAAGGTGCGCTCCATCTGAATTAAGAAAAATGGTTCAGTATGTATAGAACAGAATGAAAAAAAAAAAAATTATATATATATATATAGAAAGATAGAACAGCATAAACAGTAAAAAAGAATAAAGTATTGTCTATAAAATCTAATAGTGATGGATTACCTCTGCAGCATGAGCCTCCTGCTCCTGAAGCATGTAAGCTACAAAGATAATGAAAACAAACCAACATTCAGGTCATAGGTTTTTTTTTTCACCTTTCTTTAGTAAGGGAGAGGCAGGTGGAATTCATCTACAGAGATCATAATTATAAAGCCAGAGTTTCTTATTTTCAACTTTCCTTTTTAAGTGATAGCAACCCATGATAATAATGCTAATTTTCATTCTGTTTTAGAAAATCCAAGAGTAACAGTAGGTAGAAAGTTGAGTTATCCAGCACATAAAAGAATTCTTCATCATCATCATGCAACTGATCAAAATCCTTCCAAGGATGTAGCTCCCCCAACTATTACTGGCAGTAGAAGGATATGAAAAAGAGAGTGCAAAGGCAAAAAGAAGAAAAGGCAGCAGAATCAAGTTAAATCAGGCAGAGACATGATTATAGCCAGTTTATTTGCACTATTTGGGATCTGGGCACAATGTTGGGAGCAATTTATGGTAGAAATCAAGTCTAAAATGCATCACAATAAAGTATTTTCGCCATTACCATGCTAATGCAAAGCATAATTATTGTTGAAGAGGTCCGAGAAGCCACAATGCTAAAACTTGAGCAAGAGACAAGGCTCTTCTTCTTTCACTCAAAATTGTAAATCTAGAAACTCAACTTGGACCTTTTATTTTGCCATCGTGTATGTTTTGTTTTAAGACGTGATTGGGATAACATAAAGAATTAATTCTAAATGGCAATAGATGCATTCAAATCAGATCAAGTAACTAACAAAAGAGAGAAGAATTGAGAAAAAAATTTAGAGAAGAATTAAGGAAAAAAATTAAGTCATCCAAACCTGCCACTGGAAGAGCAAAAACTCCTGAAAGCCATCCTCTAGATGCATTGGCAGAACCACTATTTCCATAAGCTGAAGCTAAAAGAGGCACCTTACCGCTACGTGAAACTGCTGCTGCAGCAGCTAGTGCTCGCCCTTCTGTTGACCATAACACAAAAGTTAAGTAGCTTAAAACAGAACGTTTTGCATATTAAAACACCAGCACTTTCACCCCATGGACGAAAATTTATAACGTGTATGCACGTACAAACACACATTCCTCTGCATAAACATTCACATTCAATGCAATAGAAATTACTAGCACATAAATGCACGGGTTTTTTTAGCATAACATGCATTTGTAGTTTTCTAACACATGCACTCACTTAAGATCGATGGCCCAGGAAGAGGATTAAGCCCAAGCCCAACTTGCAAATACCCTGACCTCGTTACATTTTTTCACCAGACCAAAAACGTGGCGGCTTAGACCATTTCTTCAAGAGAAAAAAATGGTGCCCTCAAATGGATGGATGAAATCATGAAAAGCAGGAAAGAATATAGAATGAATAAATTTGAAGCGAAGACAGATCATGAAGGTAGCACGGATGTAGAAAAGATGTGGAATAAATCTTTTCCTTCCCTGTTCCTCTTTAGTAAGTAATGGATGGAAAGCAAAGCAGTTAGGAGCGACAAGACAGAATTGATTCTACAACTAAAAAACGTGAAGGTAACATTCCTCTTCTAATCTTTTCCCCTTTGAGAGTCTACGTCAAGAACAGTACGGTTCAACTTTTTTACAGCTTGAAAACAAAAAACGGTATAGTACTAATAAAATTTTAGTTAATAAGTAATATGAATTAAAAAAAATGGTTTAGGTTGCCAAACAGGTGACTAGGAAAACTTCCATCCAAACAAAATCGAAATACAAAATGGGGAAAAAAGACAGTATTGATGATGATAACAGTAATTTTAATATTAGTATATTGAAATTAATGTAACAAAATATTCAAATAAAAATTTCGCCAGGATTGATCTAAAACTAGCGATAGGAATCGGAGATTTAATAGCGAACTGAAAAACAAACAGTTTCAAATCAATAATATCCAAATCTCATTGCACATGAAATGTATTCATTTAAATAAAAATAAATATTATAAAAAAATCCATGACCAAGATGTGACTAAAAGAATGAGATGAGAAAGTTATACCAGAGAAAAAGCGAGAGGTCTTGGAAGCTGAAAGGAGAGACCTGGCAGCTCTTGAAGCAGATCTTAAAATCTGAGAGCTCATCTTTTTTTTTCTTTTATTTTGTTTTTCGGATTGAGGGGAAGATGGTGAGAGCTAAGGAAGTGTTTTTGCTTGGATAGTAAAGAAAAGAGAGAGATAAGGAATGGTAGAAAATGAGAGGCCTTTTATATAAATAGTTAACCGTATCATCGGACTTTTATGACTCGTGGGTTGATTCGGGAATTCGTACAAAATATTAAATTTTATACATTTATATTATAATTTATTTTAATATAAAAATATAAAATATTTTTATTTTATTAAATTTATATATAATTATTATTAAAATTTTAAAGTATATTATTTTTATACCATAACATATTTTAAATTATCAATATACGAGATTTGATTGGTGGCTTAGTTGGTTCGTCGGCACACGTTTTTTGTAGCGCCGTTAGCTTTTGTTGGGTCAAAAAACGAAACCCCAACTCGTCGGGAAAAGTACGAAACAACGTGATCTGATCCGCCGAACATAAATGCTATGTTTGGACTTTGAAAATTTGTACTTTTTCAAGGTTTGCATTTTGCAAAATTTATCGTGCTAAAATTTTCAATACAATGATTTTATTATTTTTTATTTATAATTATTTTACTTTATTAATAATTTATTTATTTTTAAAAGTAAAATATTATTATGTTTGATATTATTAAAAATTAAAAATTATTTTATTTTAAAGTATCAAAATAATTATATTGTAATAGCAATATAAATTAATAACGTTAATATTATTTAATAATAATTTATAAAATATTAATAATATTTTTATCTATTTCATAATAAAATATAATAAAATTATTAAATTAATAAATATCACTTAAAAAAATAAAGTAATCATGTAATCTTAAACAGTTATTAAAAAATAAAAACATTTTGAAAATTTAATATCTTAAATTTAAGTTCTACTATATGTGAGTTTAATTCAATTTTATGTTAAATTTATTTAATTATATTTTAATATATTGATTAATTTTTTTGTTTAATTATTTAATAATTTTTTATTATAAATATAATGTTTGATTATGATTATAATTTTTTAATAATCAAACTTGTAATTTCATTAAAAAAATAAAAGTGCTGAAAAAAAGTACTGTTAACAGTAATAAATAATAAAGAATTAAAACGTGTGAAGAAAGGAATATACCTATATTACTTGTTTGTGAGGAAGTAAAACAACTGTAATGATTAATGAACTAACGATAAAACAGATCATGTTTGCTCTTTTTTACTTCTTTTTTTTCTTTCCAACTAGAAAAGGGGAAAAAGGAAAACTAGAAAAGCAAAGCCCTCAATAGAACAGGGGGAAGGTTCTTTATCTTGGGCACTTTCGTTACTGGAAAAGGGGAAATTAATGAGGAAGTTTTTCCTTTTGCCAATACAAATTACATAATGAGGTAAGGATCGCATTGGATCGGGATAAATTGTTATTCGATTTAAATTTAATTTAATTTTATAAATTTATTAATCAAATTGATCCGATTTAATATTAAATTAATATTTTTAATTAATATATATTTAAATTTATAATTGATTTGATTCAATTTAAAATTAATAAAATATTATTTTAAATATAAATATAAAATTAAATAAATATACAAATACTATATATAATTAAATAAATAATAAAAAATAATATATATCATGTTGAGATAAGTTTTCACAAAATCAAACATTGATTTTTTTCAAAAATATTTAACTCAAAACTCGATTAAAAAAAAAAAAAAAGTTTATCGGTTCGAAACTCACATGTACGGATAAATTGCCAACCCGAGGTGGGGATCATATTGCCTTAACTAGAAAATATTCTTTGGTAATTTCATCCCAACCCGGCAGCTTAAGTATTTTTTTCTATTTAAATACATATGATATTTATAGTTTTATAGAATAGGAAAGTGAAATAAAACCAAGTTTTTCTTCCTTTTTTATTTGTCACAGTGAGGTTCAAACGCGCTGACATGGAAGGAAGGTTTCAGTGGTATTGACCCCAAAGAGGTTCCAGTTCATCTGGTGATTTGGGGTTTGTTTAAAGACCCAAAATGCAAACCAAACTAAAAAAGAGATTGCTTCTCTCAATGCATTATGCTTTGTGATTCACGTGAGTATAAATTATTGAAATTAAAACTTAATTATGGGATCTGTCATCTTTGTTCTACCTTGCCCCGTTGTCCATGCATGAAGAGCTTAATCACAAGGAAAGAATTTGGAGGGTTCTTTCTGGAGAAAAGCAGTCAATAAAGCTTCAAGTCCTCGTCCTGAAACAATTTTGAAGATCCAACAGCTTCCTCAGCATACAAAAGAAGTTGGTTGATCAAAGCAACCAAGAATCAAAACTGTCATTTCTAACTGAAAGAATTCCAACTCAAAGGGGAAATGCCATCACATGTACATCAACAAAAGAATGGCTAGTGGGATCCCATTGATTCAATGTAAGCTGAGTTCAATAAGCAAGTTAAATTTTACCTATATTCAGGTTACTGTTAAAAAATCTATAAATGATTTTACTTTTCCCTTAAACCATTTGGAACCTTAACATCAAAACCCACTTTTGTAGTCTGTCTGCAAAACCGATACCAGGTATCCACCAAGGAAATGAGAGAAAAGATTACAAGTCAAATTCGATAAATAAATTTTATATACATACATAGTGAAGTTCTATTCTTTGATCCTTTTTAAAATGTATAAAACCCAATAAGAACAATTTTGAAGTGTTACAAATGACAATCTTGACTACCATCTATATATTTCCATACTTTTGGCATTTGTTGTGAGGCAACTATAATGAAAGAGAATCAGACTAATAATTCTAACTATGAACAGACATGATATAAATCTAATGGCAACTGATTAATGTATTTACATGCATAGACACCTCACATCGTTGAGTTCTGAAGAAATCAAAACACTAAGTCCCAAAGATTGTCATGTGGATTGATGTTCTTCATCAATTCAAATAAGAAAATGGAGAATTGAGGTCTTATACTACACTTGCTCAGCAGCATGCTTTATAAAATAATATGAAATAGAGGAAAGAACGTTTTATGAGGTTAGAACAGCACAACTCTATACAAAAACCGATCTAAATGAGTATGGAAATAAACATTGTACTCTCTTGATATATGCAAATTAAGGACACAAGGTATACCTGAATTTTAGAATCATGTGAACACTCGTAGTGCAGTCCTTGACGTGTTAAAATATAAAAGGAAGATTGTGTCCCTTTATCTTCTTTCATAAAGCTTGTCAGAGAACCTACTTCAGAAGCATCAGACAGCAAGGTGGAATCCTGAGGGCTTAAATCTGCATAGTATAAATTAAGAAGTTGATCAGCAAGCAATGTGTATAAACCACCAGCCTATTACATAAATATTCATTGTTAGTGGTCTAATTAATGCTTGACCAAGTTGAGCTAAAAAAATATTAAAAGACTTTATTTGAAACTTAATGACGTGTTCATTAAAGAAGAGAACAATTAAAAACTGCTTGATCATCTTGAACTTGAAATTTCAGCTCCAGTACTCCTGACAGAATTTTTATTCATTTTCCATCTTACACCAACCAAGCAGCATGCACCACCGAATCTGGATGCAACTTTTAATGATAATAATAGAAGAAAAAAAAAAGATAATACATCAAAGGTTAAGTTACCTGTGGAGAACAAATAGAAGAATATACATTGGCCATCAAGAACAACGAATCAAGGAAGCCAGTCGTCAACATCGATATCATCAATAGGAGCCAGTTCTCCAGGTAACGCTGTCCACCTCTTTGAATGAAAGATATATAGGAAAATCATTAACCAGAACAGAAGCAGAGCATGAACAAAGGGTGCAGCATAAACGAATATGAAGAAAGATAGCCAGATGAGCATATTCATACCGTTCGGATGTACAAATAGCCAGAAAGACGAGCAGACAGCAAAATTTCATCGATATGTTCCAACCTGAAAAATGCAAAAACATCAATAATAGAAATCAAGAAATATTATGTCTAGAACTCAATATATAGTCAGTGCCGCTAGGAATTGTGGATATATAAGCTCAGGAAAACTCATAAGAAAACCTAGAAGTTCGGAGACCACTATTTGCAAGTTGGGCCTTGACATATACAAGGAGAACTCCACATAACTTCCAGTTCTAGAAACAGTTATTCAGAATCCTAGACATCAAGTATAACTCTTTCTTCTATCATTCCAAACTAAAAGTTCAAATTTAAAGGCTCAAACTGTCAAACATCATCTTTCCACTGCAGTACATTATTACAGGCATACTTATACTGTTGACCAAAATATGCATCATAGTTCAAAAGTCAAGATTCAACTCTTCCTTACTGAGCTTTCAAGTGAGCTTCTCTCTCTTCTATATCAGCAAGTTCTGATCTAAGTGATTCTAACTCTCCAGCAGTCAACTTAACCTTAAAGTAAGAGAAAATACGGTGATAAGGGATGTGTGGCTATCAACAAAACAAACGGCAAACTTCAAAGAGGCTGTTATATGAACCTTTTCCTGATCATCCGCACCAGAACTCCGTGGCAATCCAAGTAAACTGAACAGATTCAACATGACTGTAGCACTTCTCAATTTTTTTCGAGACCATAAACTGCTACAAGACCTATCCTAAAGCAGAACCAAAATATTGAGATAAGATGAACTCAAAATTCTTAACGTGGTCTCTTTTTGACCTTCAAAATGTAATTCCCCGAAGAATTATCAATTCTTGGCTGTGAATCAGGTGAACTTCTGTTTTGAGGAGAGTCACCATTGGGAGTTCAGACTTGAAACTGAGCTGGAATCACCTTGATCTTCTTAAGACCGTCATCCATAAAGTTATATTCACTATAGGAAGAAGTACAAACCTGTGACCAACAAAATAAAAAATGACAATCATACTCATAATATATAACAAAACTTAAGCTGATATAACAAGCCTCCAAATCGAGAATTTGTTTGAGAGAGAAAAAAGTAAGTGCTCTGATCAATGACTTACTCACCAGGCTTTACAACCCAGAACAATATTCTGGAGAAAGTGATATATCAAGACATAGGTCCCTAAGCACTTGCACAAGTTCTTTCCAAATGATAAGCCAATTGTTTTTTGAAACGGGATTCAATTTCTTTCGGAAGAATATGCAATTGTATGACCTTCAAGCATTGAAAACCTATAAAATTTCATGTTCATCATAATCTACGGAAATATACAACTAAGAGATCAGGATGAACAAGCTAAAATCAATAAAAAATTAGAAGCGTGATTCATGCTTAGCTAATCTAGACATATATGAAAATATACAGAATTTAGGGAATATATAAGCCCCAATTATGCACTAGAGGACCAAAAATAAGCCAGAAAAATCACAAGAATAATCTGTTAGTAAATTTAAGAAAACAGAAATAGTAAGAAAGAAGAAAATATGACTTTGAGACGTAAACAACATTATCTTAAAGGCAATTATGCCTAGAAGATACAACAAAGCCTTAAAAAACTCTTTAAATCATAAAAAATGAAAATGTTTATACTGAAAGATTTATTTATAATAAATGAATAGATATAAACTTTTATTCAGATAGTTATGATCTTCTATATAATCATGACCTTTATAAATAACAATCTATTTATATTTAAATAGTTATGATCATTTGTTATACGATAATTGTTTTTGTTTAATCATAATTATTTAAAATATAAATAAAATTAATATAAAAATTAATTTTATTCATCAATAATTAAATCTTTCTATCAATATGGGATGCATCACATTCTAAACTACCAACATAATCATCACTCACATCTCATTGCTTTAAAACTCCTTAAAGCCACTATGTCCTATCTCCTAACTAGAAATTAATCAACCACAATAAGACGAAACAGGGGTAAGGCAGTCGTGAACTGGAAACAATCAAACCATTGAAATTTTATTGTTCTTTCTATACCCACCAAAAGTTCATAAACTAGTTCCACAATTAACAGCTCAAACCATTAAAAATAGAATTAAAAATAGCAAAAAAATAACCATTGATTTCCCAAGATCAACAGCTAAAACAATAACTAAAAGCTGCCCAAAAGAAGAAGGTTCCGCAGAGCTTACAGAAGTTGATCTCTTGAATTGTATAAGCGGCAGAAAAGAACAAGCTTGATAATGATTTGATTAAAAAAAATTTCTAACAAAAGAAGAAGAGAGAGACCCTTTTTTTTTCTTTTGTTTTTAGTTTTTACAGCTGGAAAGAGACTTTTAGACAATGTAGAAAACGAGAAGCTAAGGAGAGAAGGATTTTGTGTTCGAGGAACGTTACAGTAGTTTCTTTTTTTGTTCGAGGGCTTCTGAATGCATTTTGTTTTTCCATTCACAACTTTTTTTTTCATTTTTTATAGAAAAAATTTAATAATTATTCTTCTCACAACTTTCTAAATATTTATTTTTCGTAAATTTTATTACTTATCAAAAATAAATTTTCAATCAATTTTGTAATTTATTAAAAATAAATTTTCAGAAAGTTATAAAATTTTTTAAAAATATATTTTATAAAAAATATAATTTTTTAAAAAATTACAAAATAATGAATTTTATTAAATATTTTTATTAATCAATATAATAAAAATTACTCTTGAAAATATAAGAATAAAAAATAACTTAATTTTATTATTTTAACTTTAAAGAAATAATAAAATCTTATAAGACTTTGATTATACATTTCATTTCTTGATATTATAAGAAATGATTAAAGAATTATCATATATGATACAAGTAATAAAATTTCATTAAAATTTAATATGCTAATTGGATAAATTTATAATGATAAGTAAATTGAGAAAATTTTCAAAACATTTAATTGAATTAAAATTATTATAAATTTTTAATAATTGATACGTAAAAAAATATTTATTAAAAAAATAATGAATTTTAAATATATAAAAAAATTGCATTTACTATTTTATCTTTAGTTTATTTAAGATTTCATAAGATTTCATTTTGTCTATGATCAAAATAGTAAAATTAATTTTATTAATTTTAAATTTTATAATTTTTAATAACAACTTTTTTATTGCATTAAGTAATAAAAATTTCAAATAAAAATTTTTTTGTAATTTTTTAAAAATTATAGTTTCCAACTTATAACTTTTAGAAAATTCATTTTCTGTAAATTATAAAAATTTATCAAAAATTTATATTTGAATATAAATATTTTAAATTTTGTGAGAATAATAATTAAATATTTTTATAAATTTTACTTATAAAATTTTATGTAAATTTTTCTCACGCTGTAAAAGAGGTAAAGTGTTCGGGCGATTTGTTTTCACTTTCAACCCATACTGCTGATTTACCTAACGAAAAGGAGAACGAAATTATTTCATTCGCTTCGGTGAAATTTTAAAGCCGACATGTCACTATTTTATGATGCTACTAAGTGTCGTCCTTGTAAACAGATGTATGGTTGAATTTATTTTGCTTTGTCTTATAACGCAGGGAAGTTGATGAATCAGATGTATCCTAGCCTCTGTTACGGTTAATTGTGAGGCAAATAATTAAAGATAAAACCAACCACCAATGGAAACGATTGTGGCCAGAATCAGAGGAGGGGTTATCTGCTACCTTGCTACTCGACTTGCCTATGAAAAAACATGGCCTCATCCATCACTCTCCCAGCCCTTCAAGGTTCTTTACTTCGATCTCAATTCCTTGGACAAAACCCAATCTCACATCGTCCTCACAAGTCATCTTTCCCGGTTGCCAAACAGCATAAAACCTTTTATGCCAAGTTTGACTTCTTTGAACTCTTGGGAGGTAGGGGACTTTGCAATGGAGAAAGAGGTTTAGAAATTGAGCTCAAGCGAAACGTAGAGGAGGCATCACCACTTGCTACTACAGATGACGAAAGTTCTGGCAGCACAGCAATCCCAGTTCCAGAAGATGCTTTTGAAAAGGAGCTGATGGGGCTAACTGGAGGATTTCCGGGTGGTGAAAAGGGTTTGAAAAAGTTCATTGAAGAAAACCCACCTCCTGTAAAGCAGCCAGTTTCCGATTCTGGAAGTATTGCTACACTTGCTGCCACAAAGAAGCCAAAACCACCAGACTTGCCACTGTTAATGCCTGGAATGATTGCAATTGTGAAGAATCCTAACAACCCATTTTACATGTATTGTGGTATTGTGCAGCGGATCACTGATGGAAAAGCAGGGGTTCTTTTTGAGGGAGGAAACTGGGATAGATTGATCACTTTTCGCCTTGACGAGCTTGAACGCAGAGAAAAGGGCCCTCCAACGAAGAATCCTAAGTCTGCTGTTCTTGAAGCTATTCTAGACAAGGATCCAAAGTGATGATTCCATTTCATTTCTCTCTCAACTCTCGTGTATGAATGGTATGAATTATGTGCAATTTTGACTATCAAAGCTTAGTTAGGAATCACTGTCACAAACACTTCAAACATCAAAAAACAACAAACTTACGAATCTTCTAATATCAGGAATCAACATTAATAATTAAAATATACAAATATGCATCAGAAAAGGCCCCAATTCAATTGTCTTTCTATGTGTTTATTCACCGAAATTGGTGTTGCCCCTTTCTGTTTCCCTTACGGCGCACCAATATCATTAGAAAATTGAAGTTTCAACATTGTGATAAGAAAAAGAACGAGCAAATTAAAAGTCCATGAAATTGGCTGCCCTCGTTGAAACTCCACCAGTTAATTAGAAACAGTTACCCAACTGCCAAAAGGGTGTCAAAACAGATCCATAAATGTCTTACAAACTAAAGCATAAGACCAAAAATTGAAAAATTCATTCTTCCAGTATTATTGCATGTTCAATATATTGGTTTAAGTACTCGGCGTGGCCGAGACATTTCTGACTAAAGAATAAATGGATAAAGAGGGACACATCAAATAAGTAGTTTTACAAACTGCAGATAGACCAAAAGATTAGTAAAACACATTATCAATTCATTCTCATGACCAAACCCCATGGAAAAAACCAGCACTTCTTATTGGCTACGCACTTTACTGCTTCATAACATGGATAGCTACAACCAAGACCCATTAGATTGTCAATATGAAAGGAGGGTTTTACATACCAAAATAGCCTCAATTTCCTCATTGGAAACGGGTTTTCTTTTAGGCTGAAGAGAAGCTCTCCCTCCAACGGTTGCGGGAGACTTAGAACTGGAGAAAAAAGTTAGATTATCAACACCAGTTTTTATAGCACTTGAGGCTGCAATCTAGAACTTGCAAAATTTTCATTTGGTTTTATATTCCTAATCAATACCCATTATGCATTACATTATAATTATTGAGAATAGTGACTCAAATCATATAAGAGATTTATTTGAGATTGATTAGATATTGTTTCATAAAAAAAAATATTTGCAAAAAAAAAATTCTATTAAGAAAATAGATTCTTAATAGGTGAGTTTGATTTGTAGAATAAGAATTCTAAGAATAAAAGAATTCATAATGGATAAGTTCGTATGTTTATAAATAGGTGAAGTCTCTATAAGATTAGATATGAAAAAAATATGTAAAAGAGTTATAGAGTTTTATAAGATAGACACCTCATAAGAGTACTAAGAATTTATGTCTTATGAGTGTATATGTTTAAATGTTTATGAATGGACTAAAGAAAATTAAGATAGTCCACATAAGTATGGTGCATTACTGCACATGAATATATATTTGTTTGGATTGAGAATACTCTATAGGATTAGAAGAGATTGAAAGGATCTATGGGTATTAATTGTGAGTGATTGTTTTGATGTTTTGATGTAATTTTTTACAACTAGTTGATCTTTTTTCTCATCCGTGAACGTAAGTCGATTGGGCTGAACCACATTAAATTATTATCTTTTATTTGATTGATTAATTGTTTGTTTATACTTTTGCTGGTGTGATTGGATTGAGATCTTTTAACTTAACAAATGGTATCAGAGCTGTGATGATTCCCAACAAATGGTATCAGAGTTACGATGATCCATAACAAGTGATATTATAGCATGATTCTAGCTATGGGAAGAGGTAAGTCCAAAGGAGCTTGATTCAATAAAAAAGTCAAGTTCATGTATTGAGAATTGATTTTCATTAAGTGTGAAGACACAAAAAAAAATATGATTGTGTAACTTTCATTGCAAGTGGAGCTAAGCATGTTTAGTATAAAAATAAATGATTTAATAGAATTTGAGTCGAAATAGAGATTATTGAGACTAGTAACACAAATCCCCTAAAAAATTTGTTTAAGATTAGCTAGATATTACTTGATGGATTAAAAAGACTTACAAAAGAAAAATTTCTAAAAATAAATATATTCTTAATAAGTAAGTTTGATTTGTAGAAGAAGAATTCAAAGAGAAAAAAATTCTTATTAGCCAAGTTTATATGCTTATAAATATGTGAAGTTTTTAAAGGTTAGGTATAAAAAAAAGATGTAACAGAATAGTAAAGTTTTATGGATAAACACATTATAGGAATATTTAAAATTTATGTCTTATGTGTGTGTATATTTGAATATTTGTGAGTAGATTAAAGGAGATTAAGATAGTCCACATAGGTACGATGTATCAGTGCACATAAATATGTGTTTATTTTGATTGAGAATACTTTATAGAACTAAAAAAAATTGAAAGAGTCTATGGATATTAATTGTGAGTAATTGTTTTAATGTTTTGATGCAATTTTTTATAATTAGTAAATTTTTTTTTCATCCGTAGACATAAGTCGGTTAGGTTGAATCACACTAAATTATTATTTTTTATGTGATTTATTAATTATTTGATTATGTTTTCACTGGTGTGATTAGATTGAAGTTTTATAACCTAATAAATGGTAATAAAATTGTGATGATCTCTAATAATAATGTCCTGATTAGCAAACGGACTTAGAATAATTTGACTTTTGTTGACAAATTAAAAAAAAAAAAAACCCTTTGTTAAGCATGAACATATGAACATATAAAAGCTATAAGCTAGAAAAAAAAGATTTAATAATAGATTAAGAAATCGTAAATAAAGAAAATACAAAGAGGCAATAATCCAAGGCATGGTTGATTATGAGAAAAGAATATTGGAAGGATTGGTATGTCTCCGCTTGCGCTGCGCCCATCTTTTTTTTCTCTGTTTTGGAATTTACCAAGAAGTTTGACGGTGACTTTCAAACAAGAATTTTTTCCGCTTTCACAGATTTCGTTTTCTACAAAAGAAGGCTGCCATGTTTCGGCAACGTGAGAGAAAATATAAAATTTGATTTCTGTTTCTAATTAAACGATATCGCTTACATGGAAGAAATGCATAATGGAACAACCAAATAGTCAAGTGTTTCTGCCTTTTTAGGATTTTCCTATGTAAGTTTAAGCCCATGTTAACCGAAATTTTACCTAGGCCCATGTTAACTGATCGAGGCCAAGGCCATAAAATTTGCCTTTTGATTTAAAAAAATTAGAGGAAAAATAATTATAAAAAAAATTCGAGGAAAAGGACTGCCATATCTGGAAAAAGAAAATCACCATTATAAGAGTATTTGATGCACATTTGAATGATACGATATTATTTTATTAATAAATAAATATAAAATTTTATAAATATATAAAATTTAATTTTTAAAAAAACATTTATTAATATGATAACACCAAGTACCTTATATAAAATTTACTATAAATTGCAAATATATCAAATACAAACAAGTATTTCTTTAAACATCTGATATTGAGCTGATCCTGTTACTCTTGTCCGAATTCATTTCATAATTGGAACTCGCAATCTCTAACCCGAATGCTTAAACTCTAGCCGTCAGGAACTGACCGTTCCAGACAATAGTAAACCCAAATCAAATCACATTAAATCTGAATAACGAATATGAAACAGCTTCTTGGTGTTTTGGGTGTTGATCAAAGTAAAAGTGAAATGGAAATCGTAGGAAGGATAACTTAACCTGCAGTAAAAGAAAAGCGACGCAGTAATTTCAACTTTCTGCTACTGGTTGAGCTCAGTAAAAATCATGACGTGCTTGAAGGGTTTGAGTCAAAATACGTAACTTTCATCTAGCTGTAACAAAGATAGATGCGAAGTTTGACCCTTTTTTTTTTCCCATTTGAACCATCCAAAAGGAAAAAGGGAAAGGGTAAAACAGACCGATTTGGAATTTGGGATGTTAATTGATACGATGTTAACGAACTAAAACAAACGGCATTGACTTAGATTATCGATACCAGTGTTTTGCCACAAAATTTTCAAACCAAAACCACGCGTTTTTTTTAAGTTTCTGTCGATCATTTTTTTTTTTTTTTTGTAGTTTCTGTCGAAATGCTACATCAAATGAGCTAAGCTGAAGCTCAGTTTCTTTTCCGAAACTCATTTGTCTAATGTTTGTCAGGCTCTCTTTCTCTTCTCTTTCACAAAAGTCTTTACCATGACTTGATAAACCCTATTAGTTTATAATTTTTACCGGGACATAGCCGGAAGAAGTCCGTAAACCCTTTTTTTTTTATATAAGGTAATGTGTTACATGCAAGTTAGTCCAAGACAGAGAAATTAAAGCTGTCGATTGCATTCCCCTTTTTTTTTTTTTTTTTCTGGGATGATGCAGTTCATACAATCAATTCTCATTATGACCTTATATGTTAAAAAAAAATACACACTTTAACCTCCAAACGGTAATGGGTCTTTTTTATTTTATTTATTTTTGGGGTCTTAGATGCATGCATGAAGTAACATCTCAATCAAAAAGTCTGCAATTTATAAAAAAATGGTTCCTCACTTCTCAGTCTTAATTAATCAAAAGTAGTAATAGTATTAATTAAAGGAAATAATTACAATGTCGACTAAAGAATAATGAATTTCTTGTAAATTTCACCTGAACTTCCTACAAACGCCACAGACGAGAAAGGGGAGAGAAGCGCAAGCAGAAGCGACAATGGATCAGGCATCCAATTGATGATTGTTTGTCCACAGTATGGCCACCACAGGATGGAAAGGGAGGGCCAACCATTTGACAGTCAATGCTAAATTCCAAATTTCCAATTTGACCGAACAGAAGTTTCATTGTCTCAATTTCGTGCACTTGACGCCCTGACCCATCTCTCTTAGCCAAATTTATTAATTGAGTTTCAAACTTTGCCCAAAATACACTCCCTCCTCACTCACCAATCACGTGTCCTTCCTAGGCCCCCCCTGCTTCTATATAAACTCACCCTGCCTGGCTTTAATTGCACTTTATCAGTACAAAAAGGGTGAAAAAAAATAAAACCCATCTTTTTCCCACACAAAAATGCTCACCTTTCTTGCTTCTTATTTCCACAGGGTTTTGTATGGTGAAACTGTTGAACTTGTGGAATCCAAGAGTGCCTCAAAGTTCACATACAGAGATGAGCTGAATAAGAAGCAATCACGAATCAAGCAAAAGAATTACAATGGTTATTCCTTTTCAAGTACAAAACCATTGCTAAAAGTTAAGGATGAGAAGGATATCAAGAGAAGCCGTACCGGCTTTGATGGGAAAGCAAGTACAACTGTAAGAGTAAAAGTGAAGATGACAAAGCAAGAAGCTGCTCGATTGCTTTCAAAGTGCAAAGATGGAGGGATTCTTGAATTCAGAGATGTAGCTCGTGAGCTTGTGGACCTTCCAATGAATCGTGTTAGCGTTGTGTCCCCTTGCCCTGGTAGCAATCCGGTGCTCGATAGTATCCCTGAAGAGTAATAGATAGCATGGTAAACCATTCACTGTTAAGAGAATTTTGAGCTATCAGGGTGTTTTTCTTGTCAAAATTTTCGCAAGTGTCATGTAAAAATGCAACACTTTATGCAAATGAATGGGTTCGGTTTGAGATTCAAATACTTAGATAGTGCTGTGATTCTTAACTGAACTTTTAAATGGGCCACAATATCAGTTCAGAAACTTGAAACATCAGACAATCTTGTTTTATTTTTAAATTCAAATAGTCAAATTTTAAATTTTAATCACTGAAATTAAAAATTTAACACTTTATGAACAGGCGACAATCTTGTCTTTTGCTTGTTTTAAGATAGTGACCTAAGTGCTTGCCCAAAGGCCTTTCTAAATCTAGGGTTCCCATTGAAACTAGAAAGCCAACTTTTGTTGCAAGGAGGAGGGGCGTCTGGTAACCATTGCTATCCCAAACCCGAATCTTATTCATACTAAAATTACGTATAAAGACAATGAGTTTTGCTTATCCAATTTTAGGAAGAAATTGAATTCAACGATTGGTTGGGAATTTAGAACAATTGGAAGGCTTTTTTTTTTTCTTTTCCTATGGCAACCAGTAAAACTTGTTTCTTTTTTTTAGAATCTTCAAATGTCCTCTTGGTCTGTTGGAATCCTGATAATGTCAGTAAATAGAGTAGTCAAAATTCTTCCCTCAAAAGGAGATTAAAATGAAATAAGCTTTGGAGCAGACATTGGGAGTGCTCATGGTGTTTTTGGGTCAATCAAAATAACAGAGATCCCCTTGAAATGTAGCCCACTGAGGACATTTTGATGCTGATTTTATCCATTACTGTATTAATCAAGAAGTCGCGAGTTACTCACAAAAAGTCACAAGTTTAGGCTATTGGTCTCTACTCACTTTCCTTGATGGAGAAAATAAAGACAATGCCAGTTTTCTGTGGGACAAGGAAAAAAATGGGCCTCACGTTGTTATATTGACCCTTCGATTACGTTTGCTGGGCTCAGATGTTTAAATCAAACCCATTGTCTAACTGCTCCCATTTCACTCACTTCGTTGATGTTAGCCCAAATGGCCCGTATTTGATATCTGTCATTCTGAAATGGAGCTTTTTTTTTTTTTTTTGGTTCAAAATTTTTGTCTCAAAACTCTAATTTGCTACAGAATTTGAGGCAAGAAAAAACTAACATCTCTTTCAAAGAAAAAGGAAAAAAAATGTCGCCACAAAATCCAATTCCAAAAAGAAATATTTTAGCAATGTATGTTTTAATAAGAAGCCGGAGCTTTTTTTTTTTACATAAGAAATCATAACTTTAAAAAAATTTTAAATTTATTAAATGTTACATTTTAAAATTTATTACATAAATAATTGAATTAAACTTTAAATTTTAAACTATTTATCCACATTCTACACTACAGTTTGCCTGATACAAGATAATTTAGGTTAAGGAGTTTAAATAATTTTTCTTGATTCTTGGAGCATCTTTCAACTTGATCCAAGGAACACCAAACCTCCTTGAAAGAATTCGAAAGTTGATTATACTCCCAGAAAAAAAAAAAAAAAGGGGTTGATTTAGATTAAATGTTAAAGCCAAATGGACAATTTTGACTAAGTCCTTGATTAAGATATGCGATTTTAGAAGCTGATGCAATTAATGCTAACGTTTCCACAATTCAACGCGCAAACTTTGAAGGTTTCCTTTGAATTTTAAACACTACAGGACACCCTTAAACCCAGTTTAATGGAAGAAATTTTCATTTGTTGATTTGATTTTTGGAAAAACAGATGGAGTCTACTTCTCTTGACAGAAAAAAGAAGTCATGCTCTTTTTTTATGAGCTTTTTATATTCAATTGATTTACATAAATATTTTGAAATTTAAATTCTTATATTTGTAAATTTTTTATTTTTAAATTCTGATCATTTTGTACGAAAAATCATAATTAAAGAAATTTAGTAAATATCAACGATGACCTATTTTTATTAACATTTTAATAAATAATTTATATAATTTATATAATTATCTTCAACATTTAATAAATTTAAAATTTAAATTCTGATATTTATAATATTTTTTATTTTTAAATTATGATCCCTTGAAAAAAAAATCATAATCAAAGAAAATTAGTAGATATCTAAGATGATGCATTTCCTTGATGGAGAAAAAGGGGTCCCCGTTGAGAGACAATGGCAGCTTTCTGTTGGACAAGGAAAAAAATGGGCCTCACGTTGTTGTATTAACCCTTCGATTAGGTTTGTTGGGCTCAGATGTTTAAATCAAACCCATTGTTTAGCTGCCCCCTTTTCACTCACTTAGTTGATGTTAACCCAAATGGCCCATATTTGATATCTCTCATTCTGAAATGGAGCTTTTTTTTTTTTTGGTTCAAAAAATTTGTCCCAAAACTCTAATTTGCTACAGAATTTCATGCAAGAAAAAACTCACTCTTTCAAAGAAAAAGGAAAAAATATATATATATATTTTAGTCATGTATGTTTTAATAAGAAGCCGGAGCTTTTATATATATATATATAAATAAAAGTCATAACTTTAAAAAAAAATTTATAACTATTAAATTTTGAATTTTAAATTTATTAACTATCACATTTTAAAGATTATTGTTTAAATAATTAAATTAAACTCAAAATTTTAAGCTAGCGTATGTAATGATGAAGAGAAATTTTATCTACATTCTACACTGCGGATTGCCTGATACAAGATAATTTAGGTTAAAGGGTTTTAATAAATTTTCTTGATTCTTAGAGCATCTGATTCAACCTGATCCAAGGAACACCAAACCTACTTTAAAGAATTCGAAAGTTGATTATACGCCGGACGTTGATATAGATTAAATGTTAAAGCCAAATGGACCATTTTGACAAAGTCCTTGATTAAGGTATGCAATTTAGAAGCTGATGCAATTAATGCTAAAGTTTCCACAATTCAACGCGTAAACTTTGAAGGTTTGCTTTTGAATTTTAAACACTACAGGACACCCTTAAACCCAGTTTAATAGAAGAAATTTCCATTTGTTGATTTGATTTTTGGAAAAAGAGATGGAGTCAACTTCTCTCGGGAGAAAAAGGACGTCGTGCCCTTTTTTATGGGCTTTTTATATTCAATTGATTTATCTAAATATTTTAGAATTTAAATTTTAATATTTGTAATTTTTTTATTTTTAAATTGTGATCATTTTGTAAGAAAAATTATAATTAAAAAAAATTAGTAAATATCAACGATGACCTGTTTTTCTAACATTTTAATAAATAATTCAATTAATTTATATAATCATCTTCAACGTTTAATAAATTTAAAATTTAAATTCTGATATTTATAATATTTTTATTTTAAAATTATGATCCCTTTGAAAAAAAAATCATAATCAAAGGAAATTAGTAGATATCTAAGATGATCCGTTTCTTGATTGAGAAAAGCATGTTTAGAAGCGTAAGACACAGTCAAATGTTAGAAAAATGCAGAGCCAAAGTCTAACCTACTAGAAGTTAATTCGACCCTGCAAATTAATTTTAGAACATGCACTTTATTAATGTCGGGATGCCGGGAACCACTTTGATTAAATAATCCCCCGCTTTTAATTTGCTTCATAAACACACAGATTTCTTCAACTGTTTCGTTGGATCGGTTGGAAATTTCACGGGCTATATAGCTAAAGCTTGTGAAACTCAGAGAGCAGTTCAGCTTAACGCATAGAATTAGGTCTACTTTAATATTGTTGTTGTTAGAAAAAAAATTGATTTAGAAAATATATGTTTAAAAAATTTGGCGCTGATTCGGGGCTCGATCAAATATAAAAAACATTTTAATTAGGCAATTCGCAGTTGAAACACAAAGCATGTCTCATGCCCACTGTCTCACCCTTTCTCATATTTGTCAAAGGGGAGGAGGATAAGGAGGAAATAGCTAGATTTGATGAACAAGATTTGTTGGGTAAAACTAAAATGACATCCATTAACTTCTCATTCCATACACTCTCAATCAATTCCATAAACCACAGCTTACAAACAACATAATTAAAATGATACTACTCCATATCAACTGTCTAAATATGTTCAGCCTTAAAATCCATCAGTCCTTTCAATCAGATATCATCCATATAGATCTATACTTTAGCTGCAGAAAGCTTGAATAAAAGATCTAAGTTTGGAGTAAAGAGAGAGAGTTCTGTATATTCAAAAACCAAAGCTCCTAGCTAAGTAAAAAGAGGTTGTGAAGAATATGAATCAAAAAGTATAAGAAGAAAAAGAGAGGGGAAAGAAAGAAAAGCAATAGGGATTGAAGTTTCAAGAATCATGATCTGTCCATTTCAAGTCCTTCAGGGTCGGCGTCTTCCATGATACTCTCCAATGAAGGTCTCCAGGAATCAACTTTTCCTGATCTTGCTTTCTCCATTTCCGCCAAAAGATCCCCTAAGCTCTTCCCTCCATTGTTATTCTTCAGCTTCAGCAAAAACAACTCTAGCTCCTCTTTTGTAAGCACTATCTTCACCTTTATGCTGCCTTTCTCTACTTCATTTCCCTTCTCAAACTCGGTTGCAGCTTCACGATTACGAATCTCTTCTAGCTGCTCTTCTCTTTCCTCTTCTTCCAGCTGCCTTGATCTCATCATGGCAATTCCCCATGATTTCTTCACTTCCAAAAATTAAAAACCCACTTTTTCCCCTGCAAAAACCACTCCTCCTTGAGTGGATGAACAGTCCCAAAAACTTGCTTTGGGATGTCTCAGAAAGGGAAAAAGGTAGTTTCCTGATGTCTCTGATGCATGTGAAATTGTGGAAGTGAGTTACTAAGTACTTATAGACAAAATTATACACCTACAGTCCTCTGTATTAATTAAATATATATGTATTTGGACTTATTTTCTTCACAAGACTTGATTTTTCTACATGCTAAGTGACAAACTGAACTGTCCACAACATAAACTATCGCTATACATAAACCGTGTTTGAACTTCCGCAAAAGGACAATTAACTTTTAGCAAATCTACCATTCTATCTACGCTTTTGTTGTGATGCGAATACGCTTTGTCTTAGCATTTCATATACTTTATCTTATTTTTAAGGTTTTATATTTAATAAATTGTTAATAAATAAATGTTACGTTGTCAATGAACCGTATAATAAAATTTCAAAAAAAATTAATTTAAAGAATTTAAATTAATGTTATATAATGTCAATAAATCAAATCATATTATTTCATAAAAAATTAATTTTATTTTTAAGAATTTAAAATTTTAGAATTAATTTTTTTACAAAATATTATTGGGTAATTCACTTTTGGTATATAACTTTTCATTTTTGGTATAAAGAACAAAAAAACAAAAGGTAGATGGGCAAAATTATTTTAATTTTTGCTAATATACGAAAAATAAATTAATTACTTTTATACTAAACTTGATAGGAAACGGCAAGAAAGAAAAGACAGAGAGCACAATTATCGGCTTTGACGAATTTCAAGTGTGATTATGAACTTCCCATATTTAAAACTGAATCTATTCATAAAGGTAACACTCTTTTTTTCTCTTTCGTTTATAGTGTTTAAAAAGCTTTCATCAACTTTGGATCCCACATATCTTTTGATTTATGCTTTTTGGGTATTATTAGTACACAATAACCGAATTGAAATTGAAATTTTAGTATCTACTATTGCTTTTTTTTATATATTTAAATTATAATTTTTTATAAAAAAATAAAAAAAATAAGAGTTTGATAGTAATTTTTAACTATAATTGCAGAGAGAAACCACCTTTCTTTTTGTGGTTCAAAGAGAAAATCACCCTTTTTCCCTACCATTTTCTTTGCAATGGCAACTAGTAGGACTATTATTCATTATGAACTTTCGTGGAAATTTTTGAGGAGCCAAAACAATGGAAATTTGGCATATAATTGAGGTTCAACAAACTTAGGTTTACGTCAATAATAATATTATAAGACCCAAGTCCCCGACAACGCCACGGGAAAAAAATAACTTTTTCACTACCATATATTATTAAAGGTTGTTGAAATTGATTTAAAATGTGAAACTTGTCATATCCACCACGGCAATGGACTGATTAAACGAAGCTCGGTTTTATAACGACTCCAACATTAAGTTTAGAAACACCAAGTTTAATACTATGTTCTTAATTCTTGTATTTATTTTCTTGTATATCTTTTTTTATTTTCTTAGAATACTTTCCTAAAACCATGCTCTTTATCTATTGCTTAATTTTCTGGATTAATAATGTTAAGCATTTCACCTAATTTGAATAAAAGATAATAAAATCTAAAATTTAACAAAATGATACCATTTAGTGAATCCTCTCACGTGTAAAGTAAAAAAAAAAAAAAAACCTACAAAATAACAAATTTATAAGAGATATCAGATTCGAAGATGTAAAATATAAAATTTAATATCATGTTAAGTATTTAATTTAAAAATCAAATGATAATAAATAGAAAGATCCAAATTCCATATAAAATCATAAAAAAAATCTCATCAAAATAGATATAAGATGGTATCACTTAACAAAAAAGATTTATGAAATTACCGTATTAATTTTCTAATTAACATAAAACAATAGCTAGTACTTAGTCAAATTAGTATTTAATTTTTCTTTCCTTAAGTGGTTGGCTATTAAAAAACTTGACCCAATAGCTAGTACTTAGTCAAATTAGTATTTAATTTTTCTTTCCTTCAGTGGTTGGCTATTAAAAAACTTGACCCTTCATGATTTTCTAATTAACATAAAACAATAGCTATCACTTAGTCAGATTAGCATTAATTTTTCTTTCCTTTAGTGGTCGGCTATTAAAAAACTTGACCCGCCATGCAGTTCATGATGATCGATATGGTACTGTCCTAACGATTTTGAGATCGTCATACGTAAAGGAATTTTAAAATTAAAATAAATGAGAGAGTCGTCATTAATCTTTGTTAGGATGTGATTGATTACCTAAAAGTTTATCTTTTTAATAAAACTATAAAAGCGAGTTTAAAGTTTATCAAAAAGATAAATTTTGATCTACGAAAAATTAAGTTGGATCTAGAAGTCGATTACGTGTTGGGAAGAATTAGCATCCCCACAACGCCCATAAATTTGTACCATTTAATTATGTGCTATTTTCGGTGTTGGATAAAAATAGTTTCAATTTGAAATTTAACGCTAATTCTCTTCATTTGAAAAAATAAAATTTTGCTAAAACTCTTTATTTAGGAATATCGAGAAAATCTTAAAGTTAAAGAATTATTTTAAAATTCTCTAACATCTAGGCATAATTTAAAATAACTCTTTTCACTTAAGATTTATTACGATAATCCTTAAAATAAAATAACAGTTTTTATATAAAATAATTATTAGTGACTCTTCAACATCTAAGCAGGGTACCAAGAATTATTTCCTTCAAAATATTATTTTTATTTTATTTTATAATATCACAAAATTTTTTTAAAATGTATTATTCTTTTTTATTATAAAATATTTTATCATCAAATAGTTAATAAAAATTAAAGAGAGAATAATGATAATACGCTAACGTATTTATGCTAATGAATGTCATGTAAAAAAAATGCAATTTAAAAGTTAGGTTCTTAAGTATAATGAGACCACCCTAACTCTCAAACATATAGGCAGAGTGTGCAACTGTTTATATTTAAGAATCTAATTTACTATTAAACTTTTTATTTATTAATCTTATTATTAATGAGAATTAATAACTCGTGTGAAAAAATTTAACGAAGTAAAGTTTCCTAAACACCCAATCATCTAGGCGGCATTCGGGGAACAAATTACTTCAAATGAGATTTTCACATGTGTCTTTAGGATTTTCAGAATGTTTTGAGTAAGGGCTTGAGTAAAAGTTTTAAAGGTTAGGGTTTCAAGATTTTGAAGATTCGGATTTTAAGATTTTTGGTTGAGTTTTGAGAGTTTTAGGGTTTGATTTTAAGATTTAGAGGGTCTTAAGGCTTAGATTTTAGGGTATGGAAGGTTTAGGATTTTGATTTTAGAGTTTAGAGATTTTAAGGTGTTGGTTTTAAAATTTGAGGTTTAAGGTTTAAGGTTTGGGGTTTTGATTTTAGGGTTTGAATTTTAGGAATTTTGGGTTTTGGGGTTTGGATTTAAATGTTATGAGGTTTTAGGGTTTTGAAATTTAAGAATTAGCATTTAAAATTTCGTTTTGTTAAAAAAAACGAATATCTCTAAAAATCTCTAATATCTAGTCGGATTTTCGAAGCAAGTTCGATTTTAGTGATTTTTGAAAATTAATTAAAAAATTCTTATATATACTTTTTTATGAAAATTTATTAATAATAATTTTTTAACATCTAGGCAGAATTATTTTTAGGAATATGTTTTATTTCCTCTAATATATAGGCAGGAAAAATAAGAAAATTTATTCTTATTATAATTTTTTAGATTATTATTATTATTATTTTAAGTATTTTTAATATTTTTTATTAGTTATCTTACTTGTTTTCATTTTTATTATTAATAAAAATAATTATTCTAATAAATTTAAAAATTTATCATGCATAAAAATAGAAATAAAAAAAATTACTCAAAATAACAAAAACAATAATATATAAAAAATTTAAAATTAAAAAAACAAATTTTTTTTTACTTGATCGATCCAGTCAACAACGGTTCGGTTGGATCGCAAAAGGGTTTGGTTTGGCGTGCAATTCTGTTGAGCCAGTTGAAGAGCGGTTCGGTTCGATTCGGTCTGGTCAAACGGTTCAGAGCTGAATGAGGAGCCAAGTTGGAAAGTCGGTTGCGCGGACCCCGGGTAGAGTCCTGGTTGACACGCGGATCTCCTTGTCTAAAACCACGTCGTTTTGGGACTTCCTCTTAACGACGTCGTTTTGAATTTCAGTCTTTTATAAAAGTAAAAAAAAAAAAATTTGCTTCATTTTTCTCTTATATCTCTAGCTTTCCTTTCTTCAAAGCCTTTCTCTTTAAGCTGCCAGACGGTGATCGTCCGTCGCTTTGGCCGTCATCTCCGACCATCGACAATGGAAAAGTCGAAAAAAGGTCCAAAAAAAATTTTGTGTATTCTTCTGAGCTTCGATCCAGCCTTCATTTCGCTAGAAACTGCCCTGATCGACATAGATCAAGATTTGAAGATTTCTGTTTCTTCTCTTTTTTTTTTTTTTTTTTTATAAACCAAAGACTGATATGATTTTTTGTACTTGCAGGGAGCTTCAATGTTGAGGTTCCTCCATACGGGGATGACTGTTTGTCTTTGGATTTGTTTTTCTATTTTGGGTGTTTGTGTGGGTAAAGAAGGATCGGTACTGGTGGGTGAGTCTAATGGGATTGGCTTTTAAGAGATGAAGAGTTGGGTTTCTAGCATGTTCTAGTGGTCCAAAAAAGGTTGAAAGGGAAAACGTTGGGAGCTTTATAAGGCTGAAAATGGTGGTAGCCAATGAGTATACGTCTGGCGAGGTATGGGTGTGATGGCAAGGTAAGGTTGATGGTTTCGAGTAGTTGAGGCAAGTGAGGTGCAGGGGCTCTGATGAGATTGAGGATGGTGGTGATAGGGTGGGTGGCAGTGGTGGCATGTAAGCCACCATTGCCATCTTGATTTTTTTTTTATCAGTTATCACTTTTATATTTATTTTTTGATATTA